CTCTCTCTCTCTCTCCTCTCTTCTCTCTCTCTCTCTCTCTCTCTCTTCCCGTTCTCCCTTCCCCTAACCCTAGCCATGGCGATCCGTAAGCTCCTCACCCTCTCTCGCCGCCCCCTCCTCCTCTCCAGCCGATCCGCCTCCACCGCGGCTGCCCTAGCCTTCCCAGACCTGGCCGCCCCAGCCCCGGCCAGGCCCCCCGTCATGCATTACGACCGCCTCGCCGAGGCCGTCCGGTCCAAGATCAAGCGCCTCGACGACCCCGACCCCCGCTTCCTTCGCTACGCCTCCCCCCACCCCGCCCTCGCCGACCACACGTCCGTGCTCGCCGCGCCGCAGACCCGCGTCACCACCCTCCCTAACGGTCTCCGCATCGCCACCGAGTCCACCCTTTCCTCCCGCACCGCCACCGTCGGCGTGTGGATCGACGCCGGCAGCCGATTCGAGACCGACGAGACCAACGGGACCGCGCACTTCTTGGAGCACATGATCTTCAAGGGCACGCAGTCACGGACGGTGCGGCAGCTGGAGGAGGAGATCGAGAACATGGGGGGGCATCTGAATGCTTACACCTCGAGGGAGCAGACCACCTACTATGCCAAGGTGTTGGATAAGGATGTGCCCAAGGCGCTCGAGATCCTTGCGGACATACTTCAGAATTCATGCTTCGATGAGAAGCGCATTGAGAGGGAGCGGGATGTCATCCTCAGGGAGATGGAAGAGGTATAATTCATAATTTAGTATCTTGTACCTCCTCGGTTGTAAAAGACCAACTTTTTCTAAAATATCCACTTCAAAGTCGATGAACATTGTTAATTACACTTTTTTCCTCGAACAAAGTTCACAGTTACTCTTTGAATCCAACTATGATTGCTTCTTGTTTATAGTTTGATTGTATATCAGCCAGTTACTAATTTGTATCAGAGATCTTATGGCTTAAAGAAAAAACAAAAGAAGGTCAAGAGACTGAATTGATGAGTTATACTAACCTTGAAATTGATGACATCAGTTCTGGCAGTCTCTTATTATACTTTCTGCTTTCATTGCGTTGTTATTTTATATTAATTTATTAGACATTTGATCTATATTTTATATATTCGCTGATCCATTAGTTGTTAGCAAACAGATTTGGATACTGTAGGCAGGATAATTAGTTTACATGAGTAATTGGCTAAGATAAAACACTTTGAATATGTTGCTGCATCAAGATGCTAGGTACTTATAAGCAGTGTGTGTTAGAGGTTTTACATGCATCATCATACAACTGAGGAAATATAAGTGAAAGTCCATTGATAGTATGTTGTTGGTAATACACGATACAGTGGGTTCCTAAAAAGTCTCTGTGCTTGGTGATTTAGCATCTTCTTATGTTTCTGTCAGACATCTACTGTCTAGATACCACTTAGCTTTCTGGTGAAAATAATTTAGTAGGTTATGACAGGAAGCTAGCAAGAAAATCACACTGGATATACTCGATCTTAAGTTTTGTCTTACATGACCTATCAATTAGTGCATCAAAATAAATTATGAGTTTTAATGTACACTACAATGTAGACATGGGAGGTGCTGGGAAAAGATTCTGTTGATTCAGTATCTTTTTTTCTGGCGTACATATATTTGTTTGTTTGTATCTATATCAGCAAATGGATATATAATCGTGGAGAGGGGTCTGATGTCTATTATTGACATGGATATTAATGACAAAGTAGTTTATGGATAAGCAATTGGAGAAGTGCCTATTGTTCTTTATTAATCTTCATATCAGCTATTGTAATGGTTCACTCAAACATTTTCTTGTTGATGTTTCTTATTTCATTAATTTATTGGTGTTGTTATAACATAAATCTGTTAGTAGTCAAATGTGTCTTCTGTTTTTAAAGTCAATGTTGAAGGATGTTGATTCTATCGGCTTATATTTTTTTATAATGGGTAACATGGTGTACAAAATACACGATTATATTGATGTTATAATTCTGCCTATTTATGCCTATTATTTGATCATTTTAACTGTCTGCTCCAATCCCAAGAAAAAGGAAGTCTGTTCAAAAGCGAACAAGTGAAATGTTCTTGCTTTAAATTTTGAGATTTGGTCCCTGTAATTGTGGATACTGTCTGTAGTTTTTGAATTGAATATGAGTTGAGTATGATGATTTATAGTCCTGGAATTTCTTTTACTAGTTGTTTCTGTCTGTTTCAATTTCTGTTTTGAATCATGTTGGTTGGTTTAGCTGAGGAATATTTGATTGAGTTCATCTTCATGTGTTCTTTGTGATAAATTATTTGCATATAACTTTGATGGAACTTATGTAATTTATATTGCTTGTAACCCAAATGTGTCCTGCCCACAATTTTTAGCAGTATAATATTTTCTTACTCTATGCATAAACTTTGGTTTGCTTGTGTTATGGCAGCAAAAGATTTACGTAGTTGATCCCAAGTAGTTGGGTGTTATGACTTTGTTGTTGCTGCTGCTTCTTGTGTTATGTTACTGTAGCTGGTTTAATATTAGCAGTTTGAAAAATGATCCGGAAGCTGTGTTCCTGTTTTTTTTTCTTCCCTTTTGTCAGGTAAACATGCTAGCCAGGATAACCTAAGGTTATTTTATCTTAACATGTCATCACTTGCATACCCTTTTCTTTATATAAACTTTTAAAGTGAAGCATATTTTAATTTTATGGAGTTCATTGGATATACTGATCTCCCAGATTTGTGTTTTTGACATCACATTAAACATTTGTTTTAGGAAAACCTCAGTAAACTTGTTGATGATTACTTTTATATGAACTGTTAGTTGGTACTGTATGTTAATATCATCTTTCTCTGTCATGTAGGTTGAGGGACAAACTGAAGAAGTTATTTTTGATCATTTGCATGCAACTGCATTCCAGTATACTCCACTTGGCAGAACCATTCTAGGACCTGCTCAGAACATCAAGACTATTACTAAAGAGCACCTTAAGAACTACATATCCACTCATTACACAGCCCCTAGAATGGTGCGTTTTTATTCGGATTACCATTCTTGATTTTCTGTGTGATCATTGTATTAGACTGACCCAGCCACCTGCTTTTTTTATTTTTTTTTACAAATTTCCCTAGTTTTAGCTGGTGTAACTTTTAGTTTTTGTTTATGATGGTTTAGGTCATCTCAGCTGCTGGTGCTGTTAAACATGAGGACATAGTTGAGCACGTTAAAAAGGTGTTCACAAAGCTTTCAAATGATCCTACTACAGCATCCGAATTGGTCGCGAAGGAACCGGCTATTTTCACGGGTTCTGAGGTGGGAACTCAATTTTAAATGTTTGGCCATTATTCTCTCTTAGATATGTTGTTTTTTTATCACAATATTCTTTCTTGCCTCTAAAGTCTGCCATGTCCAGGTTAGGATAATAGATGATGATATTCCACTTGCGCAATTTGCGGTTGCATTTAGTGGAGCATCTTGGACAGACCCAGATTCTATCGCATTAATGGTCATGCAGTCTATGCTAGGTTCTTGGAACAAGAACGCTGGTGGTGGAAAGCACATGGGGTGGGTTGTTATAGTCTTCTTCATAGGCTCAGATGATATTAATATTTAAATCCAAGTTTTGACCTGTATTGATCGCATGCCCGATTTTAAGCAGTTCAGAGCTGTCCCAAAGAATAGCCATTAATGAGATTGCTGAAAGCATGATGGCTTTCAATACAAACTATAAAGACACTGGTCTGTTTGGTGTTTATGCAGTTGCCAAGGTTAGTGATCTTTTATGTTTTTATCCAGATAGGAAATGCTGAAGTTGATAGTGGATATTGATAAATGGTGATTGGTTCATTAAAAGCGATATTTCTAGCATATTTTCATTTTCAAAGATGTATGCAGCCTGATGTGTAAAAGTTTCGCCTCAGGTTTCATTGCTTTTGGTGATTTGTGAATTGTGAAAATTAAGCACAGGATTATGTCCAGAAACTTGCAATTTCAGTAGAGTTGCTTTCAGTTTGTTGATTTTTACTGTTATCTAATTGGAGCAGTTAGAGGCAGCTTATGGTCTAATTTTGAGTTCTTTTTATTTGGATAAGCTTATAAATACTTTGACCATTTATAATTCAAATGATGATTAAGATTCTAGCTTATCATTTAAGTTTGAAGATATTTACTCCAAGGATTTAAATTTTGAACCAGTATCAGTTTGGGTAACTGGTTGGACTAGTATATTGAGCAATATATACACCTGTGCTGTCTAGTATTACTGGGAACAAGTAATAGTTTTATGAATTTCTGTTGGGAGAACAAATTGTAAGATAACAAGTTTCTGAAGTGGTCTACATAATTCGATCTTGATCCTAATTTGTCAAATCTTAAAACCACAATTTGTTGAATCAGCTCTTAGCAAAGTGAATCTGTGAATTAAAGAACGAACAGTATCCTTTCACCTTATCATATCTCTGGAAAAAAGTGAGTCTGTATCTATTCTGTAGTTTTATTTGCCTTAATCATCAAAAGATACTGGCAACAATATTAAAGTCCTGTACATTTTGACTTGCAATTGTTTAGTTCTGATATAGAGGGCAACTACAAGGTTGCTTCTTCACCACGTAGGATGGCCATGATTTATTTTTGGTTGGAAGAGTAATTGGAACTTGAGGTGTCCTTGTGAGGAATGAAATCGGTTAAGACTTGACACAATCAATTACACAATGCACATGTTTGCTCTTGCATGACACCTGCTCCACTGTCAGTGCTAAATTGCATGTAAGGATGGATCCTTGTAGCTGGCAAGTTTTTGTTCAAAAAAATTGTTGTTATTTATAGTAATCTTACCAGAGCCTCCTGTTAAACCTGCTTCTTAGTTCTTACCGAACTTTGAGGTGTACTTAATCTTTTTTTCACTATACGATGGTATATGATATGCACTGATGAAATATGGTCGTACAATGGGAATTGTGATACTAAAGTAGTTTGTTTGCGGATGACAAAGGAATTGTTCTTTGTCTCTGAACAAGTTGGCTTTGCAATGATGAGTCATTGAGAAGGTAGTTTTCACATTGCTTGTACGGAATCACTACTATGAGGAAACTGTTTAAAGCATGTGTTGACATTATGTAGAAAATGAATCAATTAGGCTTTACCCATACTGAAATGTGTCATGCAAATTCTATTTGATAGCTTGATGCAAGTTTTACCTGAATTTCCAGTCTTAAACTTTGTGTCATCCTTAGTTGTGCAGCAGTCTTTCAGAATGAATTTCTTTTAAATGCATAGTATTTCATACTGTTCATCATATAGATACCACATGATATTTCAACAGCATGAATCTTACCTTTGCCTTATTTATGAGAATATGCTGTTTGTTAGTGGTATACATGGGCTCAGTTCTAATGGTATTAATGGCCAGATGGTGATTACATCAAAGCATTGGAATATGGATTCTGTTTTACAGTGGCTTTAAATATAGGAATCATGATTTTGTTTGTGCAAGTTAAAATTTGTTGGCTAAAATTTCTCCACCTTTCATGAGCAGCCGGATTGTTTGGATGATTTGGCTTATGCAATTATGTCTGAGATAAGCAAGCTGTCTTACAGAGTTTCGGAGGCTGATGTTACTCGTGCACGTAATCAGGTAATTAATTGACACATGTGCTTTATTTGTTCCATTATGGTGGTACTATGGAGACTCGGGAGTATAACCAGAGAATCTTATGTTAAAGAATATGTCCAAACTATGATGAATAAGCAAAAATTACATACTGGTAGAATGTTCTATTGAATTTCTTAGCTGGTCTATAAGTATAAGCCACAATCAATCGATGGTTATTTACAGCTCAAATCTTCTCTTCAACTTCACATCGATGGAACCAGCCCTGTTGCCGAGGATATTGGCCGTCAGGTAATGAGTTGTTTTATTTTGTTAACATGCTTTTTTCTGTTACTCTCTCATAAAAAAATGCTTACTTGGTCACAATAAGTCTTACATCATGTACCCTGCTCTCTTTCATATCTTTATTAATACTTTTTTATGCTTGCAGATGCTTACATATAGACGAAGAGTCCCAGTTGCTGAACTCTTTGCAAGGATAGATGCAGTCGATGCTAGCACTGTTAAGCGTGTTGCCAATCGTTTTATATTTGATCAGGTATAGCTTACTTTTCTTATTTACAAAGCGATGCTTTATGATTGATAAAAAAAAAGTCAGTGATACCGAGATAGATGTAGGGGACTTGAGTGGTATCATAAATGATGCTAGAATCAAGCCTGCATTTCAGTGTTAGGTAGCATCTGTGATTGGAGTTTTGTCTACAAGATTTGTGTTAGAATCATGTCCAATTTTTAAGATTTGTGTTACTAGTTGGTGAGCCTTGAAGTTTTTCTTGAAAAAGTCTCCCTTGTATATTTTCACTAATCTGATACAGTGAGAATGTGTAACACCACAGGTCTATATTCTTTTCCAGTCTGTGGTACCCTTTGTATTATCATCATGTAACTCTGGTGACTTTGGCCTTGCAGGATGTTGCAATTGCAGCCATGGGACCAATCCAGAGCCTTCCAGATTACAACTGGTTCCGGCGCCACACATATTTGCTCCGCTATTGATGGTGGGCACTAGTTCTTAATTATTCTTTAGATCTTCAGAATGGGATCTTCACTGGCCCTTCCTGTTTTGCTGTTTATCATAATCACCATGAAAGTTTCAGATGTCTGGAAGGATTTTGCTTTCCGTTCACAGTACTTGTGATGTAACATTCCAAGATCAAGTGAAATAATGAATGCCAGATACATGAATTCGTTTTCTTTTTGCCTGTAAAACCTGTTCCAAGTTTGGATCATGTTTCGTGTTACTACTATCTTATTGGAGAATGGATTCGTTGATCCTCCTGCAGTCTTTGGTGAATAAACCTGTTTGTCATTATAATTCACCGGTCTTATTTATCAGGCCTCTGACACGCGACAGGATCACGCGTGGATCATTGCCGTTGCTGCCTCGAGGATGAGATCAAGCAAAAAAATTCTGCTGATTAAATGGTGAGCTAATTATACTCCCCTGATAAATGGTGAGTAAATACTACATCTTAACATCTCGTAATAAACTTGAGCTGTTTTCGAGATCACACTATTATATATATATATATATCGTGATGTAGTATTTAAATGGCTACTAACATGACTCTTACAGCCTATTGGATGGTGTGCGTCACGTGAGACAGGGGCAAGGATAAATAGAGGGGTCCATGACGTTAGTATGCTGTGATTGGTGGTCTGGCTCCGTTCCCTGTCTCCGCCGATACAGGCGAGCCGCAGCCCCGGAGCATTTCTCCGCCTCTTTTATCGCGTCGCCCGCTCGACCCGCACCTATAAATACCCGCCTCTCCTCCCTCTCCCTCTTCCCTCTTCCCTCCTCCCTCCTCGGATCCTTTGGTTCTCCTTCTCTGGTTCGAAGTTTCCCGTTCTCTTCTTTTCCTCTTCCACCCTAGAAAATCCATGTCGACGGAGAAGGTGAGGGAGAGCCATGTCTATATGGCCAAGCTCGCCGAGCAAGCCGAGCGCTACGAAGGTGAGAGACCTTTCTTTCCCCCCCTCATTTATTTTTCTTACCTCGATTTTACCTGTAAAGCTTGTTCTTTTCGATCCCAAAGATTAGAGCTTGACAAGTGTGTTTTCCGATGATAAAGACGATCGTTTCTCCACAGACTTTGAGGGTTTCAATTAAATTTCGTCCCTTGGGATTAATCTAATCTTCATCTTCCGTCTTTAATTTTGTTCTTTAAAATCTAGTAAGTCGTTGATGGATTACAATAATACGTTATTATTATTATTATTTGGATCATCGAGCCCTCATTTGCCTTTTTAATTTTTTGGTTGTTGCATGCAAGACTCATGCGGTTTGCGATTCTTCTGGCGATCATACCTAACCAGGTGGATCGATTGCTTTAGGTCCACGTCCCTATATCCATTTTAGGCAATTCATTTTGGATTTATTTCTGGGAAAACGATTTCTTTGGTTTTCTTTGATGCCTGAAGCATTAAAAAATGATGGTGATGAGAATTGTAACAATACTGATCCGGTGCTTGTCACGATCTCCACCCAGAAATGGCTGAAAGCATGAAGAAAGTTGCGAAGCTTGATGTGGAGCTGACAGCCGAAGAAAGAAACCTCCTCTCGGTGGGCTACAAAAATGTGATCGGGGCTCGCCGGGCGTCCTGGCGCATCATGTCGTCCATCGAGCAGAAGGAAGAGTCAAAGGGAAACGAGCAGAATGTTAAGCTGATCAAGGACTATCGGCAGAAGATAGAGGAAGAACTCACCCAGATGTGTGATGACATCTTGGCCATCATCGATCAGCATCTCATCCCGTTCTCCAGCAGCGTCGAATCTAAAGTATTTTATGCCAAAATGTAAGAGATTTTTCTGCTCGCTTATGTTTCTTCTATTTTATGCTGTTTATTACATCCGTCTCGTATCTTTTTGAACTTTTGTGTTGATTGCTCACTCGTTCATCTTTATCGTTAAGCCAATGGTATCGATATGTTACAAACATAAATATTTTCCTTGTGCTAGATCAAAACTAAACATAATCTCTAGCTTTCTGGTTCTGCGTCTGGTATATCTATCATTCACTTTCTCTGGTTTTCCTAGTGGTATTTATGTATTATTGGTTCTTGGACCGAGCCGTAGCCTATTCGAATCTTGTCTCGATTTCATCACGATATGGAATAGCTGATTTGGTGGTGATCGTCTCCGGAGTCCTCTTTCCTGTTATTTAACATGCACAACAACTCTGTTTACAGGAAGGGTGATTATTACCGCTACATTGCAGAGTTCAAGACCGAAGAAGAAAGGAAAGAAGCAGCCGACCAGTCTTTGAAGGGCTATCAGGCACGTCCAGTGTTTGTTTGTTCTCTTTGTTCTGATCGTGTTGTTCTTTATTATTATTATCTTCTTTTATTATTTTTGTAGGATGCCTCTGAAAAAGCCAACACTGAGCTGCCTCCAACCCATCCAATTCGACTCGGTCTTGCTCTCAACTTTTCAGTTTTCTACTACGAAATCCTGAATTCTCCTGAGAGGTACAGTCGTTCCTTCCGATTTCTCTGTTTCGTTTGATGTGCGAAAAAATTAAAGCGCTCGGAACCTTTTTCTTTGTGTGTGTGTGTGTGTGTGTGGGATCTCATCTCAGGGCATGTCAATTGGCAAAACAAGCTTTCGATGAAGCAATTGCAGAATTAGACACCCTTAGCGAGGAGTCATACAAGGATAGCACCTTGATCATGCAATTGCTGAGGGACAACCTTACTCTTTGGACTTCTGAGTTACCTGAGGACGGAGGTGATGGTGCAGTCAAGAATGAAGCGGGCGTAGCAGCTGCTGCTAAGCCTGAGGTACAAGATGCTCAATCCTAATGTTTTGTGGCTATCCATTTCCATGGCATTATCTATCCATTTAGAGACACAGAAGAATCAATTATTGTTAACCTACCATCCATCCATCCATCCATCCATCCATCCATCCATCCTCTTCTCAGCACTGACGGTGATTTATTTCTTTGATGCTACATTTATTTTTATGCATGAACGGAGGCATAAAGTTTGATGTAATAATCGAGCCTCTGTTTGTTTGGCTATCTTCTTCCCTTTTTGTCTTTTGCTGCATCATCCATCACTTCCCTTTCATCAGTTCAGCTGCAAAACCATTGGCAGCGATCCGTACGTACGTAATCTCCAAAAGAGGTTGTGCTGCTGCTGCTCTCGCTTTGTTCTGCCGAGGTTCTTTTTTTTTGTTGAAGTATTATTCATGAATCACCAAAACTCTGCAGTGGATCATTCGTATTCTCGTTACGAATCTTATCACGTCCTGTTGTGGAGATTCGTAAACATGACAACACCCGGTCGGTGATGTTATGTATGGGATGTCATCACTTGGGGTTAACTCGATCATGGGACATCCTACACATCCCTAAAAACAATTTTTATCTTTGACGAGGCCATAGAATTTTTATATCTGGTTTACCTCCTCCTCCTCCCTGCAACAGAACATCTTACGAATGGGAACCTACTGGATTGAGCAACTTCTAAGATCATTTAAGGAAAGGGAGGATGAGCCCACACCCATTTTCCAATCGATCCTTACAATTCTGAATGCATTGATTGATGGTGACAAATGAATTTTTTTTATTATAAAAAAAAGGAAAAAAAAGGAAAGGAAAAAAAATTGCTCCTCCCTGTGCTGGCAAATAAATCCACTGTTAATTATACACTCAGATATTTTTTTAGTATTTCAGTTTTTAAATTTTTTAAAAAAATCATATTAATATTTCTATAATTATGAAAGTAAAAAAAAATCTAATTTTATTTATTCATCGATTTTACTGATAAAAATATAAAAATAATAAATAAAAATATAATTTCAATATTCTAATTAGTGGTGATGATCGATGATACTGTTGGGGGTGTGGGTGACTATTGTGGATGAGAAGTGAGAGCGATAAGGAGATGTGAGGATTGCTTTGTATCTGCATTGATGCCGACACAATTGTTAAGCGATATATCAATGTAGTTATGATGCAATGTAGAGCGATCCTTTTATCGCCGACATAGATACAAAACATCTTTGCACTTGCATCGACACCAATATAGTTGCAAAGCGACGAAAGGGTTTCTTGATAACTGTGTTAGCGCCAATACAAAGTGACCATCACCTCTCGTCGTTACTCTTTCTCTTCATCCACAACAGTCACATGCGGGCCTTGACGATGTTTGTCGTCCCGACATCGTTCATCGTTACTAATTAAAAAAAGGTATTCTTTGTTTAAAGTCTCTGCCTACTAATCAATCAAAAGTTAAAATCAACCTGTTAGCAGATTCATTCCAGTAATCCACATGCAAACGAAGAGGTCGAATTATGGAACGCCGGTCAGGCACACAAATAGATCTAATTCGGATATACGAGAAATTTTTCTATGCCGTTTGATGTTTTATTTTATTTTATTTTGAGTCGTCTCCGATCCGTCATATATATGTATATATCTTTCGAACTGTATGCCACCTCCCAAATGTCAATGTCATGACCGGAAAATAGAGCGATAGCTGGCGAAGGAAATGCTACAACCTCGTCAATCACATTTGTTGGAACGACACGTGAACAACGATGAGATACCTCTTGTATGTGATGACAATGGAAAAAGAAATGTGAGCCATTAAGCTTCAACCATCTCCGTTTGTTATTATCATTTCATATTTCGTACGAGTTTGAGATTTGCATGTAAATATAAAAACTGTAATATCAAAAACTGAAATCAAATAACGAATTAAATATACAAAACGTAGCTTTCGATATCATTTAGAACGCTTTTATCCGATCTGCAGATATATCGTTGTCAGATGCAAAGACTTCAACGATGCCGATCTATAATAAGAACTAGATTTGTCTTATTTTTCTCCTTCACAAAATCGTTTTGATCATGGATTATGGACAAAGAAAAGATTAAAAAAGATTTATAATATTTTATTATTTTATCTCTAAAAGATCTTATTCTTTTATTGATGAGAACACAGAGGTAATTAGAAAAGTCCTTCGTATAAAGATGAATTCTATCATAATTGATCGATCGATAATCATAATTAAAATTTAATTAGATATGATCTTATAATCTAACATCCCAACACTTATAAATTATAAAAATGGCAATCGAGTAAGCAACGAACACTCATCGTAGTGTAAGAACTTGGACTTGGAGATCAGGTATTACAAGAGATGGCAATGTTAGGCTCATGATGAATTAGAGTGATAACTAACTTCGCAGGCAGATATCCCGACTTGTTGTAAGTAAGCATTATTGTTAGGCTCATGATGAGAAATCTAGTATTATCTATGAAAATAATTTCAAGTTTTGTAATAACCATAAGGGTTGATAGGATTTTTACTTGTGATTCGTCTTAGTTTTCTGAATAAATGCTAATAAGAGAGAGGAGCAGTTCATATTGGAAGATCATAATACACTGCATCAGGTTTTTTTATGGGCAGGAAATTTCTCGAGTTATTGGGTCAGCAGAACACTGGTCTATGCATGTGGAGCTGGGGCTGATTGCACCCCCATTCTCCAGAACGGAGGAGCTTGTTACAATCCCAACACTGTGAGAGCCCACTGCTCTTATGCTGCTAACAGCTACTACCAGAGGAAGGGGCAGGCACAGGGGGGCTTGTGATTTCTCAGGCACCGCCACCCTTACCACTACGGATCCAAGTAAGTCACCAGCATCTTCTTGATTCCCTAACGAGTGCAGCAATAATCTTCATCTGTTTGACCGCAGGTAGCAGTGGCTGCGCTTACCCTGCATCTTCCAGGTTCATCTCTGACCATTTTCTTTTCTGTGGAACGTAATCCAGCATCTCTTTTACGATGTCTTCTTCTCTCTGCTCGCTGTTCTTCCTCCAGTGCTTCTGGCACAAGTTCGACACCGGCAACAAGCACCCCACCCACCACCTTCACTCCGACCAATGGGGTACTGGGAGGATTGGGGCCGTCCGGTAGCTTGACCAGCGACGTTAACCACGGTGGTTTCCTCCTCAGGCCGGGGATAGGTTGGCTCCTCCTCACTCTCATTTGCTCGGGAATTGGCTTCGACGCTACAGTGGTGGCGATGGCTGTGCAAAAATGGATATGTGATTCTGCTGATGTTGATGCAGAGGCATATCTTCTCGTAAGAGGTTAGTGTGCTTGGGGGAACCCCGGAATGGTTGTCACTCTTCTTCTTCTTCTTCTTCTTCTTCTTCTTCTTCTTCTTCTTCTATTCCGGGCCACATGGGCTCTCTTCTCTGTTGTCACTGATGAGCTGTTCTTACTGTCAAATGGACCAACCCTGTTTTATTCTTCATTTCGATCGTGTCATGCATCCCTATAAAATTCCTTCTGGAATGTTCTAAAGATAGATACAGCTAAATAAACATCAACAGCAAATGGAGAGCAGCTTCTTCGAAACATCCAAGTATGATGTACATGAAAAAGTACCAAGAGAAGAAGCATGTTGGTGGTGCCTAGTTTCACCACTCAGCATGCCTACATGCAGATGACAAAGTTGGCAAATTTGATTTCATCACCTGATTAGAATCACTGTCGATCATAGTTTTTTTCTTCTTTCAATGACGATCGAAGAGAGCAATTAACTGGAACAACTTCACATGCAAGTTCTTGTTGGCATTACCTTGGTGTGGTGGGTGATGCATGCATGCTCTCTTCGCTTGGTGCTTGCTGTGTCACAAGCCAAGATAAAATGCACAAAGATGGATGGAACTGTTTGTCCGTCCATGCCTGCCGACAGATACAGATATACTCAAATTTGACTAAACTTAAGCTTCTCATTAGGATAAAGCAAATATACTTAATGGGGGGTGTTGAAATGTTAGTTAGCTCTATGATAGGAGCTAGAACTACAGTTGCTGTCCAGAAGCAGGAAAACATCGATACATTGTTGTTGAGGAAGCTACCATGAAATCTCTTCATGCGGTGGTCGCAAGGGGGCCATAAACCAAGAAAGGAGCGGAGCTGATGAATGGGTCATAGGCTGCCGATATAAAGTGATCAATATTATTGACTCGACTTGAACTTTCCTCACTAGGATCGGAGAGAAAGATACATGGGTATTGAAATTGTTCGGTACAAATTAACCTTAAAACAGAGCAAAGAGTCTGAAAATTTTGTCCATAATTATCATCAGTCTCTTCCACATGAATGATACCGTTGTCTCTACTACACGAAGAGCAATAAACATGGTAAAAACATGATGCACCTATTGATACCATTGTCTCTTCTACATGAATGATGCCAAATGCTGCTCAAGCAAAATAGAAATATTGTTGCATAACGAGTCTAGTCTATGTCAATCATCTGTAACTCGGCAACCGACCTATTTAGAAAGTGATTGCACTTGTCAAGTCACAAACCTTTCACCTCAAAGGTGAAGACAGTCTGGATAACCAGGAATCCTTAGGATATAAGGACAAATATTACTAGCATCAATATCGGGCATCCAACACCATAAGACACTTTGTCTACAACTACTTGGTCACATATCTCACACGCTGTACAGAAAACAAGTGGCAGAGACTTCAAGAATGTACCTATATCACCTTCGTTGGCTCTGCAATGACCTTGGGGACCCTGCAAAAAGATCCAGCAAGTATTCCTCCAATTCATCTGGGGAGTACTTGATGTACTTTTCTCGATGTCTCTCACCATCCAGATAGCCAGCATGCCTACTTTCAAAAATCCGATATGCTTGTATCAACTTGGTGGATACAGAGATCCTCAGATCATCCCGGAGTCCAGCATTCGGAACTGACCATGCTGTCTGTGCATTGTAAACCTCTTCGAATGCATGGTTGAAACCTCTGAATCTGTCCTTAAGGACTGTCGAGGAAGGATTTCTAGAACTTGTCCTGCGAATCCCCTCTTCCTTCAGGAACGAGAGGACAGAAGTCCATGAGGCCCTCTCATAGTCCCGTGCATGCTTTTGGAACATCACAATGTGCGCCCGAATCCATTCATCACCAAAGAAGTTTCTAAGGTCAGACTGTTTAACTTTGTCAACCATGTAACAGACATTGTTCATCATAAAAATGCTTTGCAGAGAGACATCACTGTATAGCTGGGACTTGTGAGCAAGGTTTGCTTCCAAAATTTTGGTCACTGACTTCAGATGCCAAACCAGTGGGGATTGATTCGAAGAAGTTTCTCTGTCACCATCTTCCATCACTGAAGATTGGTCTGTGCCCTGTTGGCCCTCAAGAACAGAACCAAGTGTCTCCGCATAAGCAGAAAGGGCTTTGATATAATTCATGACATACTTTGTAAGATGATGGACTCCGCCTCCAGGAAATGCAGTATATGATATGCTTGACTGAATATTATATTTGAACTCCTCTAGAGTCCCACTCACAGATTCTTTCAATCTCAGTAAAACTTCATGGCATTCAGTTAGTATGCCAGATCCATAGTCTTCCGGGAGGAAATGCTCCATGTCCACAAGAAGATCACTTAAAACCTCGTATGTATTGAGTGTCTGAAATAGCCTTTCTGGCTTTCGAGGTGCAAGGGCTATGGCCATAGCAATACTGAGAAGTTGAAGAATTGAACTATTTGAGATATCGACGAAACAAGGTTCTCTGATTGATCCTGGAAGTTCTCCAAAGACAAGATCACAAAGATGTCTTTCCCTAGCAAGACAGACCCGAACAAACACCTGCATTGCTTGCTTCCACTTCTCTATCGTGCGATGCAAGACATTCCACCCCATTTTGAGAACTTCTTCAATATTGAATCTATCGAATTGGAGAACCGACAGGCACTCCTCGACTGCATCTTTTCTGACTATTACATATGCCTGACAACACTCCTTCTCATAATTGCATAGACACATGAAATTGGCAATGGCTGTGATATCAGAAATTAAACCATGATTGATCAAATCAATGACAACATTCTCTGACTCTCTGGCGGTATCACTGTGAGACATGGCCTCAACTGATTCCTCATCAAAAGAACTGTTTGAGAAGTTGTCCATGCTGTCTTCTTCTGCAGAATGAAGAGACATGCTGTCAGGTTCCAAAGGTTTGCAGCATTGAGTGAGAAGTTGGACAAACTCATCCTCAAGTCTTTCCATGGCCATCTGAAGAGTGATTTCGGCAAAATTCAGGAGTTCATTATGTTTCTCATCTTCATTGCTCAAACATAGTAATCTTAAGACTCCACCAAGTTCCCAGACTTCATTCACATCCTTTAAGTACTCGGATACTTGTGGCAGAACTTGATCCTGTATCGGTAACGTATCAGAATCACGTAACAGAATCTTCTTCTCCAGTTCCTTCAGCTGCTCTTCAATGTCACCAGTTCCCACCTCTTCTGCAATTGTCAAGTCCGAGTATCGGATGCCAATATCAGCAATCATTTCTACCATTTCATCAGTAAGATTTTGAGTCTCTTTCTGCACCACAACACATCTTCCTTCCACCTGAGCTGTTCCTACAGAGACCTGACCTTCCATAGAATGATGTTGCTATGATCCCACTACTTCACCACAGTAACATGAAAAGAGGATAACAGCAAAGTAAAACCCCTCTGAGATCCTTCTTCTATGTCATTTAGCACCTTAACGTGCTGTCATAATCAAAATCCTAAACTTTTTTCTGAATCTTATCCTTTGTACCACTGATGCAAAATTGAGGCACTATTTGCACAGATCAACAAGAAATAATGACACAATGAAAAAGGAACCTTGAAGAAAATTTTCAAGAATTCATATTAGAGCATAACAAGAGAAATATTGAGATTGTAGCAAGAGAACCTTGCGATTCTTTACCAGTTAAGCTGACTGACACCTTCATCGTATTGCACTTAAGATTAGATATCTTCAACCTCATATGAACTCACGAACAAATGAAAAGGGAGAAGAAATCTGACAGGACATAAGCAAATACAGCATCTAACCCTAACCGTAGCAAACCGTATGGAAATTGTAGCTAAGTGGCAACTGTAGCAACAACCGGAAGAGGGTTTCATGAGATTTTAAGCCAGAATAGATCGTAAACTCCCCATCTCCGTTCTTCTCTTTTAGGATCGATCATTATGCGATCCTGTCACTTATAATCAGAAGCAAACAAGGAAGAAGACATGGAGTTGCGAGATTATCAACAGAAACAAAAAGTAGCAAACAAGAGACCGGAATCGAACAGATGATTTCCAACTCAAAAATCGAATCTTCTGTATTCTAGGGCAACGAAACCCTCCCTCCTCCTCCTAAAGCGAAGATCAACTCGGACAAGTAGCAACAGCAAGACTGGAAGTCAATCAAACAACGAGACGGGAAGATTATACTCTTCGTTCGAAAATCGTGATCAGATTAAAAGAAAAGGTGGAGCAAACAGCTATGGAACTAAAAATCCCTCCTTTTTACGAACCGAGAGAGAGTGATCAGATGAAAAAGACCCCCCCCACAAAAAAATTAGCTTTCTGTCGGAGGAATATGGCGGAGAACCTAGAGAGAACTTAGAGGGATGAGGAAGGTGATACGAAGCTTCCCACTGCTCTAAAAGATGGCCTCTCTCCTCTGTTCTTGCCTTTCTCTTCCCTTCGCGTTAGATTCTGTGGCTCTCGCAATCACTATGACGACGGAGAGAAAAATAACAAACAAAAGAACAAGATCATAGTTTTGCCAACCAGTTCAATATCTACTCCAAGTTTACCAATCCTTTTAGTGGCTGGAACAGCGGGCCCTCCTTTTTCACAGAGCTTCATGTTCGTGGTAATACGAATGTTTTAGGGATGGAAAGCATGAAGGATGGGGAAGAAGAGGACAAAGGATGAAACAGCAGGCTCCCATCACAGCCGTCGACGTGTTGGAGAAATCTAACCGTCCGATCGGGCAGCCGCGGAGCCTGACGCGGTTGGACCATGACGACCGGTTTGGTGGTGGCGAGTTGTCGCGACCACCGCGGGAGGGAACGTTGACTCGGCCAAATACTTTCGTCTCTCAAATAAGAGAATATTCTTGGCCTACCTGACTAAGTTACTCGCATGGCTACCTTCGTCGTTATTCGGGGTGCTGATGGGCCCAATGGCGGTATGGCCGCCCTTTGTCACAGGAACACCTCTCTCTCTCTCTGTCTGTGACAGGCAAATGTCCTTTTATCTTTCTATTTAGGGTTGACAATCTGAGATCAGGGATGATATATTGATGTTGATCCAATCCATCTCCAGTGTGTTCCAATTAGATCGAAGCAACTTCTTTGATCCGTCGTTATTTTTGTGCTTTAGATGAGACCACTCTGAAACTTTCCAAGATGCGCACAGCGCAGATGCATCCCCTATCACCTCAACCCAGCACTAATTTCCTCTACAAGAAGCTACTCTCTCTGTCTCTCTCTCTCTCTCTCTCCACCACAAATCTTCCATGACCTTCATTGGTCTGTCAGAAAGCTACTCTCTCTGTCTCTCTCTCTCTCTCTGTCTCTCTCTCTCTCTCTCTCTCTCTGCATGTATCTCGACTGGGGAAGAAGTAATATTCAAGCATGGAAAAAGATCTTACAAGATTGCTTTGAACGACTGACTTCCTCTCTTGGTTCTCACATGTTGCAGTAATACTGCAGTTGTTTTGACTTGTGTGTACGAGCATTATGCCACCCCCTTGAGCAAGTTAACAGTGTAAGGAACCATTGAAGATAAGGAACTCCTCCTGGTAAAAGGTTCTCTTCTAGCTCTACAACAACCCTTGTTTAATTAACTAGAATGACCAACCAAAAACAAGCTGTATCGAGGGGGCTCATGGACACCCAAAGCTTGTCCGGTTGAGAAGCATATTCCTCGATCTCTTTCTGCTTAAGAGGACATCTTCGATACTACTTAAAGAGGAGCACTCTTCCTCCCTACCTTGTCCTTGTGTCTCTACTCTTATATAATAACTCAAATGGATAACGAAGAGTAGTGTTATGGGGGTTGGCTGGGCATATATCATTTCACTGACAAACAATCGTGGGACACCTAAAGTGGGCAACATTCAAGGTTGATTTATGGGATTGACGTTGACCAGAGAAAGAGTTCCGGCAAGACTAACAACTAGATGACCGGTGCTGGTTTCCTGCTACATCTTGAACTTTCCACCTGTCCAAATACTCAGATGATAAGCTTCCCCTCTGCATCGTGGATGGTAGAACACTGTCTATTATTTGTTAACCTCATAAAATGTTTCAGCTACACTATGTGCTCGAGTAGTAGTAGCTCGATCATCATTCGTTGTCCAGCATGCTCAATTATGACATGGAAACATATTATGTCAAAATACCCCCTCCCCTCTTTTCATGTGAAAGATATATATAAAATATAGAAAGAAAAGAAAATATAAGATTTATTGCCTGGTTGATGAAATATATATATATACAAGTATAAAAAAAAAATAACATGGGAGGAAAATTTTGTTCTGAGTTGTCTAAGGAATTATCAAATATTTATCCTTTAAGTATATATATTTTTTGATAACTCTGACGCTTTTTGGGAAAATTTAATATTTCTTCTCCATTTTGATTGACTTCATTATTAAGGTTCATTTTCGTGGTGGATCTGTATTTACCTGATTTGTAGATACTACCTACGTCTATGATATTTTATTTAGTCATATAAAAGATCGATCAATTAGGTTTGAAGGTGAATTGGATACGAGGAATCTCGACGCTGCACTTACCATATGAAGCTCACGAGAAAGATTAAATGGTTCTTGATCAACTCCAAATCATTCGAAACTAGCAAGTGTTCTTCGGAGGACCATTTACAGGCGGAAAAACCACACTTTGGTGGATATATTTTATTTCGAGAGTTGACGCGGGCTCCACACGGCTCATCTTGGGTCCCGTGGACACGTGCGAGAGCGGCCCCCACGTGCCCCGAGCCGCCCGGCGCCCCATCCTCCCCTCTTTGTTTATCTCCAGAGCACCAAAAACACCGGATTCCCTCCGCTCGCGACGCACTTGAGTGGGTCCCACGTTGCAACTCTGTTCTTCATCCGGGCACGTGTTCACATCGTCGCTCGATGATTACAGCCGATCATAAGAGTGGTAATAACGAAATCAAATAAATATGTATAAAATTCGAGTCGCCAAAACGGAAATAGAAAATATTTTCACAGCCGGTAGAGTCTGTGTCAGTAGAATAACGAAGAAGCTTATTATTATATTGAAAACTCGACAGGGAGGGAGGAGAAAGAAAAGAAACTGTGAGAAAAAAAAGGGGAAAAATCTCGTCCTTCTTCTTCTCTTCTTCTCTCCTTCTGCTTCTTCCTTCGAAGAAACCCAAGATTTCTTCGATTTAATTTGGTTCTTCCGAGCTTTCCTCCTCCTCCTCTCCCATGTAAGGCTAGAGTTGGAGTTCTGTGAGACTACGACGACCTTCTTGTCTCCCTGCGATTTCTGGCGACGTATCCTTGGCTGCCCAACGCAGATGAAGTCCCGCCGGATAACCCTCGCCTCATCCTCCTTGTCCTTCCTAGTCCTCCTCTTGGTCTCGATCTCCGCCTCCGGTGGCGGCGGGGATCTGGACGCTCGCCAGGCGGAGAGATCCGCCCTTCTCCAGTTCAAGAGCTCCGTCCTGGCAGACCCCGCTGGTCTCCTCCACGGATGGGGCTCCTCCGCGGACCACTGCTCCTGGCCCGGCGTTTCCTGCGACGGCCGATCCCGAGTCGTCTCCCTTAACATCTCCGCGAAAGGTGGCTCTACCCCGCTTCCTTGCTCCCGATCCGGTCCTTATCGGCTGAGTTGCGGCGATCCCGGCCGGAGGATGGCCGGAAGGCTGAGCGCAGCCGTCGGGAGCCTATCCGAGCTCAGGGTGCTCTCCTTGCCCTTCCATGGTTTTGATGGCGAGATCCCTGACGAGATCTGGGGTTTGGAGAAGCTGGAAGTGATTGATCTCGAAGGAAACTCGCTCTCGGGTGGCCTGCCCTCGCGTTTCCCTCGCCGGTTGCGTGAGCTAAGTCTGGCTTCCAATTTGATCAAAGGTGAGATTCCTCCCTCCCTCTCGAGATGTGTAGATTTAGAAACCCTAGACCTCTCAGGCAACCAGATCAACGGAACGATTCCAGGATTTCTTGGTGGTTTCTCCAAACTTGAAGAACTGTATCTCGCTTTTAATCGGCTTGATGGGTCAATTCCGGATGAGATTGGAGATGGGTGCCGAAATCTCCAAATCTTGGACTTGTCTGGAAATTCCTTGTTTGGAAGCATTCCGTCCAATTTAGGCAACTGCACCGAGTTGCGAGTCCTATTGCTATTCTCCAACCTTTTGGATGGTCTCATTCCTTCTGATCTTGGTCGATTGAATAAGCTTCAAGTTTTGGATGTCTCGAGGAACAGTTTGAGTGGATTCGTACCTGAGGACCTAGGGAACTGCCTAGAATTGACTGTCATTGTTCTTCTTAATCTTTATGATCCAATTCCGGAGGAGGTAGCTTCCACTTCTGTTGATATAGATGAATTCAATTGTTTCCAAGGGAGACTTGCTGAAAACATCACTGTTCTGCCAAAGCTTAGGGTGCTTTGGGCCCCAAGGGCAAAATTTCAAGGCAAGATTCCTAGCAATTGGGGTACCTGTGAGAACTTGGAAATGGTTAATTTGGGCCAGAATCTTTTTACAGGACCAATACCTAAAGCTTATGGTCAGTGCAGAAATCTTAGATTTCTTGATCTGAGCTCAAACAGTTTGACAGGTTGGCTTGAGGAGGATCTTCCTGTGCCATGTATGGATTTCTTTAATGTCAGTGGAAATCAGTTGTCTGCCTCCATCCCAAGGTTTGCTTACAAGGAATGCTTCTTATATCAGTTCCCTAGAGATGACCTATCCTCAGCTTATTTTTCATTTTTTGCTTATAAGAGCCGCACAGGACTTAACTTGCCGATATTTGAATCTGGTGGTGAATCTGCTATATATCATAATTTTGGAAAGAACAATTTTACGGGTAGTCTACTTTCTTTACCATTGGCCACTAATGGGTACGCTAACCAGACTGTTTATGCATTTTTGGCTAATGACAACCACCTTTTTGGGTCGCTGAATGGCATTATTGTAGAAAAGTGCAACAAAGTGAATCATTTGATAATCGACTTAAGCAACAACATGGTGCGTGGTGGGTTTACACAAGAAATAGGTACAACATGCAAGTCTCTTGTGGTTCTGGATGTTGCCAATAATCAGATATCGGGAACAATCCCTGCAACTATTGGGTTATTGTGGAATCTTGTTAGCCTGGATCTAAGTAGGAATCAGATGCAGGGTGAGATTCCTGCCACCATTAAACAGTTAAAAAGCTTGACTTATCTGTCGTTATCTGATAACAACTTAAGTGGCCGCATTCCTTCTGGCATTGATCAGTTGCAATCACTGAAGGTTTTGGATCTCTCATCAAATTCCCTTACAGGTGATATTCCTAGCGATCTTGTGAAGATGTCAAATCTTACTACTCTGTTACTCAACAACAATAAACTTTTTGGGAATATCCCTTCTGCTTTTGCTAATGTGACATCGCTTACTAAGTTCAATGTTTCATATAATAATTTATCTGGACCGTTGCCTTTAAATGCCAGTACACTGAGATGTGATAGTGTCCTCGGCAACCCTTTACTCCAATCTTGTCATATATACTCTCTCTCTGTTCCGTCATCTGATTTGCAAGGAAGCAGCCAGAACTCGCAACCATATTCTGAGTCACCACCAAACGGCTCACCAAATGATAGCGGTGGTGGTGGATTTAGTTCTATCGAAATTGCTTCAATCGCATCAGCATCAGCTATAGTCTCAGTCCTCCTAGCTCTGATAGTCCTCTATATTTACACAAGGAAGTGTGCACCTAGGTCCACCACTCGGTCTTCTGGAAGAAAAGAAGTGACTGTTTTTGTCGATATTGGGGTTCCTTTGAATTATGAGAGTGTTGTGCGAGCCACTGGGGGTTTCAATGCAAGCAATTGCATTGGAAGTGGAGGTTTTGGGGCCACATACAAGGCTGAGATTTCACCAGGGGTCTTGGTGGCTATAAAGAGGCTTGCAGTAGGGAGATTTCAAGGTGCTCAACAGTTCCATGCAGAGATCAAAACACTTGGAAGATGGCGGCATCCTAATCTTGTGACACTAATAGGTTATCACATTAGTGACACTGAGATGTTTTTGATATATAATTATCTCCCTGGAGGTAATTTGGAGAGATTTATACAAGAAAGGTCAAGAAGGCCTGTGGATTGGAGGATGCTTCACAAGATTGCTTTAGACGTGGCGTGTGCACTTGCTTATCTGCATGACACATGTGTGCCTCGTATCCTCCACCGGGATGTTAAACCTAGCAATATATTGCTGGATAATGAATTCAATGCTTATCTCTCTGACTTTGGACTGGCTAGGCTTCTAGGAAATTCTGAGACCCATGCAACCACTGGTGTCGCTGGAACATTTGGTTATGTTGCTCCTGAGTATGCCATGACGTGTCGTGTTTCTGATAAAGCAGATGTATATAGCTACGGTGTGGTACTGCTGGAATTAATTTCAGATAAAAAAGCACTAGATCCTTCCTTCTCTCCATATGGTAATGGTTTCAACATAGTTACTTGGGCATGCATGCTGCTGCAAAAAGGCCGGGCTCGTGAGTTTTTCACCGAGGGGCTTTGGGATGTGGCTCCCCATGATGATTTGGTAGAGACCCTACACTTGGGTGTCAAGTGTACTGTTGACTCACTGTCTATTAGACCCACTATGAAGCAAGTTGTTCAACGTTTGAAGGAAATCCAACCTCCACATTTTGGGCACAATCAACATACTTAGAGAGGTATGACATGCTATATATTCTTGGATACGAAGATTTAGCTACAGTTTGTGTACCATATGATATATCTTTTCAGTTGCCGATTCTGTGCTGACGACTGTTGTTACATTTGGCTATTACTAGAAAATAGGGCAGCCATGTTTTATCTAGACCGATTATTAAGCTTGTGTATTTTCATACTTCCAAATCATACATGCTTTAGAGATACTATACTCTTAATTCTTGCAGGTAAAAAAGAATTTTCCCCTGTGTAGCTTTATGCACAGGAAAAATATGTGGATGATATTAGACTATGTCAAAGAAGAAAAGAAAACAGATTTTTGTAATGCTTTTATGATTACAACTCTTATTTTTATTCTATAAAATCTAGACAACTTGTACAATTGGTAGTGAACATGTAGGCAGAGTTTGAAGATGAAACTGATGAAGAATTATGATGGCCTATATATTTTTTATATTTTTTTGCAGTCTCTACTTCAAAGATGGGTCCTGCATAATATGGGAGGGTAATGGTTCGTATCTGTCTGGAAACTTTTCACCATTTCTACTTCTTGTTTCTCATCAGTAGTAAAAGTGTCTTAAAATTCAATAACAGGTGATATGAGACATTCTCCACACTGAAGTAATTGAGCTGTTTTAAGGTTGCATCACCAAGGAGTTTTGTCCAAGTAAGTTTCTTTATATGATATTGCTGGTATAGTCACCATCTTGCAGATGTTTTTTCTTCATATAACCTGTCAGAGTGGGGTGCATTTTTTTCTTTCTCTACATTTACTTGGTAACAAGGGCTATAATAGTCATTATTCAAATATTTTCTACAGAGAAAGTGGTGAAAAGATCGTGTTCTCTTATAAATAGATAAAAATGTGAAAATGTATGTAAATGCACTTAATTTATACAGTTAAATTGTCATTATATCTTATGCATTCGTGCTACCTTTCTTTAATCAAACCGTAACTTTTACCTTCATATATTTCTATATTCTCTCCTATGCATATTACATAAGTTTTGATTTTTCATTCTCTGATATATTGTAAAAATTAAATTTTAATTTCTAAAAATCTAATCACTTTTTTTAAGCTCTGTGATCTAGTTACACCATATGTTGTTTGATTAAAAAAATTCTTTACCCTAGCATGACTGATCCATAAAATCAACATAGGTAGGGAATTGCTTGCAACATTACCATTGTATTCTTACAAATCTGAGCATGCTAATATTATATGGAATTCAAGCATCATCTCAAGGTTTTTTTGAAACTAATGTACATCTAATATACAAACTATACCATGTCCGGCGCATGATATTTTGATGATCTAAAGCTCACTAGTCAGCAAGCTCTTATCTTTTTTGTTCTCTTCTATTTCTCACTTCTCTATTTTCTTGAATCTTCTGAAATCATATTAAGTTTTTGCTATTGGACATTTCCCACAACACATTACGAGCACTTTCCAGTCCAATTCAGTTTATTTTTTATTTATTAAGGTCCCAATTTGATACTATACCTCTGGACAGCAGATGTGCATCATGTAAAATCTATTAGCAACCACTGAATAGACTATGATCTGAAATGGTCAATGACTATGGGTGACTACTTCAGGTTGTCACCTGATAGCATACCCCTGGACAACAGGTGTGCATTGTAACAAAGCTATTGGTCCCAGCTGGATACCTGCAGTGATTGGTTAGTATGGCAACCACGTATACCAACCATGATGATTTTGATTCCAACAATCATCTAATTCGACAAATGAAGCATATTTAAAAAGGTGGGTGGCAAGAAGGATTCCTGCCAGTTGCTTATTACTCCTAAATGTGTAGTTGTTAGACCAAGGAGCCTGTTGGTCCATTAACTAATGTAGACCAAGAAGCATATTTAAAAAGTCATAAATGCTTAAACTTAAAATCATCCCTCAGAGAACAATCTCCTGTAATGGGATTATTCAGATATTGCAATCTCTTTGGTCCATGGCTTGAGAATCATTCTTTGCAGAAGTACACAAGGTAATCTCCATTCTAACATTTTTGTGCACATAAGAGGCTCACAAAGCTGCTACAGTAACTATTATCATGACCTTGAGTAGCCTATGACCCTATTAGCTCAGGGAGATAAAAGTTTGGCCATGGTGGTGTTGCCTTCCTTGCGTAATCCCATATTATTATACATACATACATACATACATCTTGTCTAAAGATGTCAAGCTTCCTAGGTTATGATGGTTTATCATGAATATGCCCCATATATTTTTTCAGTTGCCTGCTTCTTAGGAATTTACAAAAGAGTCTTCATGAATATGGCCCATATATTTTTCAGTTGCCTGCTGCATAGGAATTTACAAAGGAGTTGCGAGTAATAGGAGCCAGAGGAAGTAAGTAATGATTAAGGGAATCATCAAGACAGGACTTTTCAGAAGTTCATAATGGTGCATAAGGTTTCAAGAGGCTGTTAGTGGAGTATCATTGAATAATGACAATTACTGAGTGGGAAAGTCCAGATATGAAACTTGTAAATTAGTGTGTGGGAAACTTCTGTTGCAGTATCATTGAATAATGACGATTACCTATAGAAATTATTACCAATTTGGAAACAAAACCGTTACATGATTGTGCTGCTCACTGACTAACAATATACTGCCCCTCTAGCCATTGGTTCGCCTATTGGGCTTATAGGAAGAAGGGTTACCAATTACACAAGGTTGGAAAGTCTGCATCAAGAAATCCATCTATCTAGACTTCATGTGGAAGTTAATCATTGTGGCCTGCATTTTACTCTATAAATCTATGGATTTCTTCTCCCTAATCTGAACACTTAGGATGTTAAGATCTATGGATTTGTTTACCCTACAATCTTTCTTTTCTTTCTTCTATTTAATATGCAATTATAACATTTCCAACCATGGGAATTCTGGTTGCATATATTATTCCAGCTAAGTAGCGGGCTTTGGTCCAATAGTAAGACTTTATGACATGGAAGACAAGGTTCTAATTGTGGTTCGCTTTATCGATCCTTACTGATGCACCAACCAGCCATCGGTATGGTATGTACCAATTCATATCAGCGTATTGACACGCATACTGATAGACCGGTATGTACCGCTCATATTGGTCTCTTGTTTGACTGATGCATACTACCCGTATCAGGCGGTATACCGTGGCGTGGTGAACCTTGGTTATAATCATGGTGATATAAAATAACCTTTGACAAAGAAAGATTCTTTATTTAAATAAAGATGAAAAAAATAGAGGAAGAAGAAGATAATAACAGAAGGATAATTATAATCCTTGCTCTATCTCGAGGAGAGAACTCCTTGGATGAAGACCTCATACCTTTATACATATTGCATGTGTACGATAGATTCATCGAGAAAACATATATGACCTTGCACTGCTCATAAATAACATGAGAAAATAATTTATTCTTCATTAATTCATATTGTTATTGTTCTCATTACAATCACCTTATCCTTTTTTTGCAACACAAGTGTAAGAAGAAAAAATAAGAATAAAATATAATCGTATTAATGTAAATCAAATAAATAATTCTTTATCTTCCCCATAGAAGATAAATTTTTAGATTCACCATGTCAAATTTTTTTTTCTTGGTTGATAGTCTTCCTTTTTTGTAACTAGATAATTCTTTTCTTTTTTATTTTCTTTCATTTTCTTCTCTTTAATCAATTTAAGAAATAAAACTAAAGTATCCTAGATATTGCCACATAACAACTTGTAGAATTTGCAAGATTCCTTAAACTAATAAAAACTGTACTGCAATATGTTTTGTATCTTGGGCTTTCACTCCATAGAAATTCACCCCAAGTTCACATAATTGAAATGGCCAGTTCAATTCCTACATAGCGAAAATGAATGATGCAGGATATTCTTAGTCCTTTCTTATTTAAATAAGATTTTTTATAGTTTAAGGAATCTTTGGCATGTGGCAACACGTAGAATATTTCTAATTTTGTTTCCTAAATTGATTAGTAAGAAGAAAATGAAAGTAAATGAAGAAAAAAGAAAAAGAATTATTTTGTTTTAAGAAGAAAAATATCAAACATCGAGAAAGAAGATTACTTGGCCAGCCAATCTGGAAACTTTTCTTCAAGCAGGTAAAAAATAGTTTATTTGATTAGCACTAATATGATTGTTTTTTCTTTTTTGTCAATAAAAACAGAGTCAAAAGATTATAATGGAAACATCGGGGAGATGAATCAATGAAATATGAGTCCTTTTCTCACGTTATATGTTAGTGGTGTTAGATCATATTTCATGACATAAATCCATTATCAACGTATGAGAAGTGCAAAGATGTGAGATCTACATTCCAAGAATTCTCTCATTGAGATAGAAATAGTATGATAGTTATCAGGTGTCTGTTCTTATTATCTTCTTGTTATTATCTTTCTTCTCTATTTTTTGTCTTGTATTATCACAGAAAAAACCTTAATCTGTTGATTATGAGCTCATCCTACATCATGTGGCCATGGCAGTATAGAATCTGTAGCCTAACCTACTTATAAAATATTCTGGGAGAATGTTACAATTGCAAAGTATGAATATTCTTTTGGTATTTGACCTAGTTACTAGATTTGCTATATCAATAAACAAGATCTGCCAATCATATCAATCTTACAAGCAGCTTCTGACATTAGATATTATGTAAACTGCATCTTTTCTATTAGCAGATCCTGTTAAAATTCTTTTAGAAGCTCATTACTATGGATGCTGCTTATCATAATTAATTCTCTTCGTATATAATAAAATGGAAATGGGAGTGGATTTGGGTTGTTGGGCTGAAATTGAGATGAGAAATGATAAAGGACCTGTGACTAAGGTAGACTGAGATATTATAACATATAATAATCTCGAAACGTGGACAGATTTCTTTAATTGATATTTGTAGTGGGTGTTCTATAAATGTAATTCTATAAAGTTTCTTATTAGCTTGATACCTTGCAAATTCACAATGTTTGTACTTTGTACCGTATAAATCTTGTTTATTGCGAGCAAAACCCTGCATTTACCTCACATTCAATATCCTAGAATTAACTATAGTTTCATTAGATCATAAGTAAACAAACAGGTGAGGTTGTGAATTGCCCTTACCATCTTGTTTGTTAAAAGAAATTATGTGGGACCATGTTTTTGACTTTTCATTCAATTTTTGTACCTACAGCAAAGGTGTAAAACTCATGTTTGTAGGTTGTTTTGAATGTGATATGCAAGCATTTTGTAATGTTGCAGGGAATATACATTGAAAAGGCAACCGTGCAATGGACTTACAGATTGTTTCTTTTAGCAAATTTTAGTAACCAGTAGTGGCAGTGATGCTTCGTTGTAACAAACAGAATTATCATTTAAACTGAATTGATTAAATAATGAATCAATACTTATTTGTTCTTCCTGCAGATGATCTGAGAGTTCTTTGAAGGGACAAATGTGGCCATTTTCTTGCGTGTAGCAGCGTACATATCCTTTGTCATGCTTTTACAGGTCAATTTCCCTGATATCAGGTTTTGGTTCCTGTACTGAGAGAAGTTTTCTCTGTCGAAGATGAATGAGGAACTTCTCTAGGACCATAGCCACAGTATTTAAGTGGCTTGTATCTTGGAATGCACAAAGGAGACAAAGCCTATTATGCTTTTCCACAAATCCAGTCAGGTCAGCAAGCTTTATGTTGCTTATGGAAGTCTTGGCTTATTGCAGATGGATTCTGGATTTATCGTGCAAGTGGTTGTGCGGCATGTCAATCTCCGTATCAGGTTTTGGCACAGAAGGCTACCTAGGTTGGTCTAATGCTGCAGCATCTGTAAATAATGAAACCATGATCTCATTGAAAGACCAAAATAATCTTAATGTAAGAAAATCTCATTGTAAGGGTGTAGATCTTTCCTCCATTTTGATCCGGCAAGAAGTGTCAATTTGAAAGTGCAAGTATAGCTGCATTTTTTATCATTAAGCTGATGGTATTATATTGCAACCAAGGCCTACCACATCAAATATCGGGTTGGTCAAACTGATACTTACCATTGTACTCATAGGTTCTTGACCAGTGTATCATTTTTTGGCGATATCCATTGGTACAGATCAATATATCACCCAGTTTATAAGAATCATATCGACTGGTTCGAAACCAAGATTGTAAACCTTGCTATCACGCAGGGTTATAATTAACTGTAACTTCTGATAACAATTAGTTGATTTGCTTTAAGTTTGATTACCTTAGATCATATTTGCCTTTCTCAAGTTTCTTCAGTCGTAACTATAAATTTAAAATTGTCTGAAGCTACTATTATCGTTATGGAGTTGGTTTGTGGCAATGACGGGGTGGTGTATTCAAATCTCATGTTTTATTGCCCCCTCGAAAATTGTAAGTATTTTGTACAGTCTTAAGTTGCCTTGAAATTTTATGTTGTGCTAACTTTATTAGCACTCATTTTTCAAAGTCATTATCATGGGCATAGAATGAGAGTTTATGTGTGGGGTATTTATATCCTTGAAGAAGTAAATAGGATAGTTTGAGATGAGGCACATGGTATTTTTTATATCTAGATGTTGGTGCAGGTCAAAGAGAAACAGAAGATTATATCAACATGACTGTGGAGTTTCTATGCCTCAATGACTAGATTTCCAGCTAAATTTTGTATGGGAGATTTCAATGTTGTTGCAGGTCAAAGAGAAACAGAAGATTATATCAACATTACTGCTTCCTGATTTTAGACCACTTGAAATGTTAAGATGTTCTATCACTAGAACATCGCTTGGCCAATTTTATGAGGTGATCCTTTGTTACCTTGTTCTGCTGACTGCTACCGGTGCTTAAAATCCTTCTCCTATTGGATTGCTTGGCCATAATATTTCTTTAATGTTGATGGCTCATACTTGATTCTGTAATTTAGTTGGACAGGAATTGTTTCTCGGGTGGACATCGACGATCACCGTTGCCCCCCTGCCTGCTATTCTTTCATCGAATTTTCAGGTATTCCTTCGCCATTTTCCTTCAGTTCTGCCCAATCTTATAGGAGGAATTAGCGCTACATTCCGAGCCTTAGACTAATCCCCCTGACATCATTCTGTGCTTCGAGACCTGCGAACGTGACTCCTCCGTCTTCGAGACCTGCGAAGCAGAAGTTACTGCCCGACTTCGAATCGGTCGCAGATAACAACTGATGGGTCCCACATGTTGCCGAGTCCTGGGAAGTGTTCCTCCCAAGCAGAATGAGTTGGGTGTTCCAACCGCGACATTCTACCAGCCACCACTGGACTGTACCGAGAAGTGTGGGGTCCACATAATCTTATCGTGCCTGATGAGGTCGACCGCGAACTGCGTCGTCCTTTGGACGGCCTAGAATTCGCGTGTTTTGCAGCCACGTCTGGCTGTGGGATTCCTCGATCGATCTTCGTGGAGGAAAGCGTCATCGATGGCCAGGATTACTTGAACACGTGTCCAAAAATTAGAAAGGGTCAGCGACGGCGCGTATCTACGCGTAGAATCTTTCTGAAACTCGCCCGTTTGATTTCGTTAGGTTGGACGACGAAAGGATACACGCTTTCACCTTCGGCCGAAGACTAACCCGCCTTGCTTACCCACACACTCAGATATCCGGCCCCATATATTCGTCACGGGTATTGTACACGGGTGAGTTGATCCGATTGATTCACTGTTGAAGATGCAGGGCTTTTATGTGTCTCCTTCTTGCCCGATTGAAGAGAGTCGATGTTTATATCTCTCCTCGTAGATCGATCTTAAGTAGGTTGTTAATGATCGTTAACGGCGGTTGGTTCGTCTGCTCTGGACGACACAGGCCGACTCTTCACCACGTGGGGACGCCTTTGTCCGATCTCGAGCGACGGTTAAATTATTAAAAGAGATTGATAATTTATTAAATCAGAAGGAATTATGATAGTTATGACTCATGATCAGTTCGGCCTAAAGAGTCACATACATATGATAGGTCTTGCGATGAGTAGAGGTTCAAATACAAAATATCCACCAGAGCCCCTATCTTATTGGATATACAGTAAACTCTTAAATTATTGGGTCTTATAGATAAGATCAAATAAGAGTCAATGATCCAAGAGGCTTTGGTAGTTGGTTGGAGATCTAGTACCCAATAGGACATGATCCATTATGGTTAAATTGATAGAGACTTCTATAAATAGGAGAGAACCAAAGGGGCATATTCTAGACCCTTTTTGCCAAACATCTCCTATTCTCCTACCTCTCTCTCCTTCTCAATTGATAGCCCTAGTTTGGGGTGTATGGACAACAAGAAGATCTAGCCCCTTCTTGATCACTTAGTGCATACGGAGAGAAAAATCATGTAGCGATTTGATGGAACCAAAGGGCCATATTATAAAGATCCACTAATCTAAGAGGCATGTGTAGTTGGTTGGAGATCCAGTACCCAATAGGGCATGATCCATTATGGTTAAGTTAACAAAGACCTCTATAAATAAGAGGGAACCAAAGGGGCATATTGTCAATCCTTTTTTGTTGCCACCTCTTATTCTCCTACCTCTCTCTCCTTCTTAGCCGACAGCCCTAGTTTGGGGCATGTGGACAACAAGAAGATCTAGCCCCTTTTTTATTACCTAGTATGCATGGAGAGAAAGATCATGTAGCAATTTGAGAAGTGTCTTCGCCATATCTACTATGTGGATCACCGCTAAAGAGGAGAACAATTGATCTCATTCATCCACTTCTATAGATCTTAGATTTTACAAGGATATATGATCTCCCTAGATAACAAATCTCACTTGATATGCATGGTTTCGATTTTGCATTTTGTTTTGCGAACTAATCTTTGCACGACGATGAAATCTTTTTCTTTTGAGAAATTTGTATTTGTATTTTCTGTTTTTCCACTGCGCATGTGATACTTTGATCATATTTCCTAATAGTCCCCGATGTATGAGTTCTTCAATCTGCTTTTTTTAATCACGACAATCTTCCATGTCATGATCGTAATCTTGGTGGAATTGATACTATTTGGACTCGTTTGTTTTCTTCAATGGGGTCTTCATCGGCTGAGAATCTTTTAAGAGCTCATTCTCTTTTATCTGTAGAAAAACTTCAGTTTTAGTTGTATTTTGGGGGTCAGCTCGGGCATTGGGCAAGGTAACTATGGTTGTTCATTTCTACTTCATCACAGTGACCTCAAGGTCGAGCTGATTACGACCACTTCTATTTTGGCCTTTTGCGTGACTCTTCATGCTTATCCAAGACCATTACCTTAGTGACGATATATTAATTAGTACTTTGAAGTATATCTGGTACAATTGTCAATTGTCTCTCTATCAATAATTAGAAAAGACAGAGGGCTTTAGCCCCATTATGAAGGTTTCTATCATGAGTAATGGATGGGCATCTAGTACGTCTTGGATCTTGCTCGTGAATCAAATGATGAAGTCTGTAGGTATTTCTTCCTCCCCTGCTCGAGTCTAAGGAGCATTATTACTAATAGCCACGAGCATATGTTTTCAAGGAAGTAAAGTTTGAACTCCTTCGTGAGCTGGGTAAAAGAACTAATGAAAAATAATTTTAGACAAGTATACTATTCTCACCTTGGAAAGATATGACACATTAGAACATTTAAAGTACCATATAAAAACATTTGGATACAAAAAAAAATGTATAATGTGCTTCCTCCGGTTGTCACTGCGACAGTTGGTTGAAGTAAGTTAGGAATTAAATCCTCATATATATATTTTTAAGGTAAACGGTGATGTACTCCCAATCACCCTCACACTGAGATATCTGGCCCCACATATTCGTCATGGTGTGAACTGTTTGTGTTGTGTTGGCATGGAATATATCGTGTAAACATGATCTGAACTGATCAGTCAATTTTTCATATAATTCGTGGTCGATTTAAGTCTGGCCGAGCCGATTCAGATTACAAGATGAAACATGTTTTCCATCAAAAGAAAAGAGAGAGAGAGAGAGAGAGAGAGAGGAGGGGGAGGGGTAGAAATTGATGAAAGCATGATCCTTGGCAAACCATGATGAGAAGACTCACAGAATGAAAACCCCCACACAAGATCATCGTAGTCTTGGAGGGAACTTCCTTGCCTCGTAAACTTAGTTTGCATCAAAATCTAAATCTGTTGTCATGCTTGCTGATGTAATTGAAGACATCAGTTATTGCTCCTCGAGAGCTAACTTTCGAGTCGCAGATTTTTCTGCTTCTCCTTGTGCAATTTAAAGTTGTAACTTTGATGTGAGAGTCAAAGAAAAAAAAGACGAACTTAGAAATCTAGACTTGTTTGCTTACATGCCTGGCTGCGTCACTTTCCTTGCTGATTTGGATCGCACATCCTCCGCTGCTTTTTTGGCATGCCTTGTTCCCTTTACCTGCTAACATCACAATGTGCCATGTCGCAAGCACAGCCCAATCTCTGGACCGAAACCCTACACAGTGATCGGGTGGCTACTTGGATCACAACAGCTCTTCCTCTGCTGCACCAGATTCGGCCATCAGAACGAATGCCTATGCCTGTAGCTGTACTGCCTATAACTGATTCAAGCTCAATGATAGTGAACACATAAATGGTGTTTCCCACGAACGGCTCTCGTTTCTTTTTCCTCTACGACCATCTCTTTCCATGGAAAAGCCTACTCAACCACGCTTCTTCGTCTCCCCCCCGAAGGTGATGGTGTTATGGCCTTCATGCACTTTAATCCAACGACCAAAACGTAAGAGACAAGGATGGTAAGAAGTCGGTGAACAAGATGGTGGAATTAGTTCCTGATGTCCTTGATATGAGATGTTCAGTAGGGATTTCGCTGCTTGGTAGCCGTGATCCAAGAAGACTGAACGAAAGGTGCACAAGGGGGATTTACGCAATCATAGAACCATAGAATATCTCGGAGGAGCGATTTTGCGATCCAACATCAAGAAAAGAGGCCGCGTTTGGTGGTTTTGTGTTCTTCTTTTGCTTGTGTTTATAACGACGAAAAGGTATGAGTTGTCGGCTTTGGTCTATTCTCCCGTGCTTCTTCTCTAAAAGAAGGAAACACAAGAAGATTTCATTTATGTCGCAGCATGTCCGAGGAAACATATTGCTTGTCCTTCTGCACTCGAACGCTGCTGGGTTTGGGTTAGTGTGCTCCAACCGAACTCATGAAAGAATATTCTCCTTGGCTCTTTGCAATCAAAGTAAGAAAAAAGCACTGTCCATCTGCAGTAGATTTCATAACCAAAGAAGATTACCTGTCTTGTTGTTGACTTTTCCTTTCCCAGGTAATGGATTCGACTCTTTGTTTGGACCAGCAGCACCGGAGAGGAGAGCGAGAGTGCCAACCACAAAATGACATGGTTCTTCAAGATCGAAGTCCCCCCCGAGCAACATCATGTACGTAGCAGCTTGAGATAAGTGTTTCGGCACGAGAACCGTTAGATCTTTCATATATTCTTATTCTGCGTTCGGCTTAGCGGCAAATCTTTGGTACTCACACTGCTTCGAGGATATGTAGCACGATGAGGACACAAAGTTGCGTGGTCCTCCAAACCTAGAGGATGCTCAAAAGGCGTATTGGTCCTCGTGCTACACATGTGGTAGCTCCCTAGGGTTTAAGCACGGGACGGCATCTTTGTGTCGATTTAAATCAAATAAATGAGCTAAAATTCCAGCTCTTTCCTCTTTGGCTTTTCAGGATCTTCATCTATCTAACGTGAGCTTTCAGCTGGGTGAATCAGTTAAACTCGCAAGGTTTTTACCGACGATTAGAACCATCAGATGGCATCTGTATTTGTTTGCATTTATCTTCCTCGATTGTGATCAAGACAAAAAAAATGCAATAAGTCGAGATATTTCAAGAGATGACAACGCCATCGCGAGACACCGATGAAGATGGTCCCATCTTGAATGGGTACTACCTCCATTATTTTACTGCTGTCGATCATCAACCACCAGAATATGTCCTCGTGGCTTCCTTTCGTGAAGGTGCTAAAGCGTTCCCCTTTAATTAGCCGATTCAGTCCATCAACATATTATTACCTCACCAAGCATGCATATACTAGGGTTCATCATCTTCGGCGATCGATGCGAGAAATCCCTGGCTTTTGCTTAGGGCTTGCACAAACCGAGCATCTCTCTCCTTTCTCCTCGTCGTTCATCATTTCCGAAACGGTTCGGCGCGAATCGAAGGTAGAACTCTGCCCGTGCTCTTTCCCAAGTGTGTTCTTCGTGTTCCGTCTTTCTCGAATGCTTAATCCCATTAAGAGGACAAAGTTGTGGTTCCTGATTGCTGGTCTTTGAATTGTTTCCGAGCAAAGACTCGAAGCAAGCAAGCCAAAAAAAAAAAAAGCAAGCACCAGAAAGAGGAGGAGATCCACGGCAGTATCAGTTTTCTTGTATTTTTGGTGTATTTCTTGAACATATGATGATATCTATCAATGTTGTTTTGGACTAGTATTTATTTAGGTCATCTAATCTTCTCCAATTTTGTTATAGTCGGATACTGATGATATCTGGATCTTTAATTGTTTTACTCAGTCATTTTTCTTTTCCTTTCCTTTTTTTTTTTCATTCCATTAAACACACCACACCATGAGATGCGAACACAAAGCTTGTCGTACTCTACAAAGCAATTGCTGTTTCATATTTAACTGAGAAGCATGAACACAAAATTTTGTTGTTCATCTCACGATCCTGAGCTCTCACATGGCTACCATGACCGACATAGGCATACGGTTTGTGCTCCTGTTGCATGCATATTTGCCACTCTTCTTTCGGTAGAACATACACCATGTTAATCAAACTAACAAAAAAGAATAGAAACGATTTCTCCAACTTGTTATTGCATCTTTTCTATGTTTTATATTCTCCTCTCACGAATGAAAGACAATTGTTGCCAAAAATCTCACCTCACCTCTCCTTTTTTTTGTTTTGTTTTGTTTTGTTAATGAAAGAACACATGCTCGCCCGATAAACAAACAAGATGTTGATTTCGGAATACCGGTAGATGCAGTTCATCCTGCCGAAGAAGATTTGGGTGGATTGCATTCGTCTGCGACCTCTATTGCGAACTTTTGAGTAACGAAGAAGGGATGATGAAAGGCTTAAGATGATAAATAGATCGAGAGAAAAGGAAATTACGACTAAACAAGAAGGTGTTCCGAGCGATGACATACTCTCAGCCACTTCATCAAGGCTATGGCCGGGACTGAAGGAATCGAGAATCGTGCGTGTTCCTCGTGCGTTCGGAGGAAAAGATCGGCACAGCAAAGTCAGCACCATCAGAGGATTGAGAGACCGGCGTGTTCGGCTTTCGGTCCCGACTGCAATCCAGTTGTATGATCTCCAAGATAAGCTCGGGGTTAACCAACCCAGTAAGGCGGTGGATTGGCTGCTGAATGCTGCACAGCATGAGATCGATAAGCTTCCTCCGCTTCCATTTCCACCAGCGAGCTTCACACGGTTCTGTGGATCACTGCCGATCTCTCAAGGTGCGAATCTGAGTGGTGCATGTACGACGGCGGACGATGTTGCATGTACGACTCATAGAAATGTCAAGTGTGCGGCAGATGAAATCGGAGACTGTCACCTGGCATTGTTCTCTTCAAAGACAAACGATGAAGGTATAGGGAATAAGGTATTCGAGCCAGTGAAAGTTGCAAGTTTTGCGTTGAGCTCGCGTGCCGGAACAGATGCTACGGAAGGAGGCAATTCCATCAGGGTTATGGAGGCGGAAAACGATGGGGTCGGAAGGTATCATGCACGAGTTTCAGCTGATGTCTCTCTTCCGAGGCCTAATGATTCTTCACTCGCCGGCTTGGGAAGTAATGTGATCTCATACGATTCCTGCTATCACTTGGATTCTGCAAGCTTGGATGGATACTACGAGCATCAGCTCGGAGGTCATTCCGTGCCATCTCCGCTGTCACTGTCTTCGGGATCTCAGCTAGTCTTTTATGCATCCGGAGGAATGCCATCAGTGTTTTCACCATATATGACCACTCTAAATGGCTTAAATCCGGTGCAGTTGAACCACTTTCAGGCGGCAGCTTCACAATCGAGTTCGGCCAATCTTCTTCGGAGTGGCAGCCCAATAATGGTGAGACCTTCACACCCAAGGTCGTCATCCGATCACCACAATCCTTACAATCATCAACCAAACTAGCTGATATCTTTCGGTGCAAGCGAGAGCAGCCAGGCGATCCATGTCAAGCATGTCATGCAAACAAACTGTCGATAAGAACAGCTTCAGATGTCAGGCGTTTTGTTCCTCTGTGTGGTTGTCATATCCAACCCAGTTGCTTTGTCTTTCATAACCGGTAGATCTCGAGTGTGGATATTCTAGATGTATCCCATTTGCTATTTAGTGTTCTTCGCTCAAATCAAGGACAACTCCATGTCCACATGCATTATGCAGAATGATTTTTATGGGAAGGTCCTGCTCTACCATATATGATTGCTCGAGCCACTCGATCGAAAGAACTTGTTGCTGCAAACTTTGAGCTTTGCATTACTGGTTTCCTCGCAGCACTGTCGAATCATCTCCTCTTTTCTTGCTTTCTTTCGACCTCTTTTTTTAGGACAGCTACAGGCATCGCTACTGACCGGATGATGCTCGGTGGAAAGCCGCCGTGTAGATCGAGGGGAAGCATGGAGAGATGAGGAGGCGCCTGTTGGAATGAGACATGGTGGAGTTCGCAGTAAATACCAAAGCTGGAGGTAAAGTCTGCTGTTGGTGGAGGTCTCAGTGTAGCACAGCACAGCACAGAAAGATGGCAGATTTTTATGGTCCCATGGAGGAAAAAGATGCATGCATAGGCCTGTAGGGTTTTGCATGGTTTGGTGGTCCACTTCGTTTCAGAAGGGCAAAGCTTTCTTACATGGTCCCAAGACGAGCTTCCATTGTAGCCATCCATCTTTCTCGAAACAAGTCCTCGGGCCATTGGCATTGTATCTTTATTCTGGTGGGGCCATTGGCATTATGTCCGAGAGCATGACAGTGTCTACCTGGCCTCCATTTACCTGTGGCCAAACGTGGCCACTACTTGGCCGACGCAGCACCGATATTTTTGTCAAAAAAGAAGAAGAAGAAGAAGAAGAAGAAGAGAGAATTATCAATTTTTTAGATAAAAATAGGACAAGATGATTAATGGGTATAAATAATAATAATGATTTTTGATCTCAAGAGTAATTATAATTTTCTTTTATAATAATAATAATAATAATAATAATAATAATAATAATAATAATAATAAAAAATTGTTCACGACATTATTTTTCATTACAACATGGAACTTGAGAAATGAGATCGAACATAAGCCCACAATCATACTACTCAAACCCATCCAATTTACTTCTGTTTTAAATTAAAAAAAAAAAAAGTATGGAGCCATAAAAACAACTTCTAGAGGAAGGAAAAGAAACTACATCTTCATATTTGTTTAGTTTTGTATTGTTAATTTTCTGTTTTATTCCTTAAGAAAAAAATTATGAAGATTTTTACAACAGAAAAATATTTTAAAGATAACAGTAGAAAAATATGAAAAACAAAAGATCATATAGAGAATTATACTAGAAATTACCTCGATCTTTGTCTTTTTTTCTTTTTATTCCTTATTTGACTCGTGCTCTGTACCTCCTTTTAGAATGTTCTAAAACTAAAATCCTTCCATCTTAAGCAAATATAAAAGTAATGCATCCATTGGCTTAAGCACCTCAGGCTCATATTAATGATAATGTTCCTTCTGATCTCCCAGAAATACCAACATCTTTCAAAGCGTGATTTTGAAGACAGAATTTTGATAAACCAAAATAATTCGTACTCATTTTCCTTAAAAATTTAAAATTAACAAACTTCACGTGTCTGAAAAAAAAATCCTAAACGAAAAAGGAGAGATCTACACATTTAGAAAAATGAGTAACATATTTAGCATATTAAAGAAAACAAAACTATAATCATGAGAATAAATAACCCTATGAACCAATAGTCAAAAACACAAGAAAAAATAGAACATTCAGGAAAGTCTTTTTTAATACCATTAAAGTATATACTAAAATAACTAATCCAATTATATTGAGCGCAATGAAATATTGGCAACTAATGATTCTTAAAGCCTTACCTCAAAAAAAAAAGAGGATAAAAAAATTCCTAGAACAATTTCAAAAAAAATAAAAATATATCAATTTACTTTTGAAGGTGGAAGTGCGAACTTAGATTTATCCGAGGAGCATTCACAGTATTGAACAACCTCCACAACAAATCTTCCAGACAAACTGATATTAAAGCATCTCAGTTAATGACTACCAGGATTACCATATATTTTGCCGTTACTTCAAAAAGCAAAAGTTCAAGCTTTGATATTAAAGCATCTTAGTTAATGACTACCAGGTGACAAATTGCCCTCATCATCATCATCACCACCATTACATAAAGATAAGCAAGACTGAATCTTCAGCAATGCACTGTTGGCATTGCTTGCGATCTAACATGGGGCAAAATCAGCCCTGGGTTCCATTCGATTTGTCACCTGTCTCATCTTCAAATCGTGGTCCTTGCAATTGCCTCTTCACTAGTGCAGTATAAATGCCATTTTTGCTAAGAAGCTCATCGTGAGTACCGCTCTCAGCTATCTGACCATCAGATATGACGGCAACTGTATCTGCGGTTTTAACGGTCGAGAGCCTGTGAGCTATCACAAGAACGGTCCTTCCTTTCATTAGAGAATCCATTGCGTCCTGCACCAGTTTGAAAAATTATTTGACAAAGTTTGTACTTATCAATCTCGAGCTAGATTTCTGCCACTGGATTCTTTGATGAATCCAGAAACCATGGTCAACAGAAATTCCTGTACTGGGGCTTACTGTGAGGCCCATGCAGGAAAGAAAGAAATTTCTTCAAATGGAACAAAGGTTGTTCTGATCATTTTATAAGAGAACTTGGAAGAAAGATGGAAGAGAGGCAGTTCGTTTGATCTACCTGCACTAGATATTCACTCTCAGCATCTAAAGCACTCGTGGCCTCATCCAACAGAAGAACTCGTGGGTTCATCAGTAAGGCTCTTGCTATGGCAACTCTCTGTTTCTGGCCTCCAGAGAGCCTTATGCCTCGTTCACCAACAACTGTCTGATATTTATCAGGAAAATTGGAAATGAACTCATGTGCATTTGCCATTTTCTGTCATTTCAGCAAAAAAGCTTTAGTTAGCAACTTATAACACTTGAAAAGATAGTTGGCCCAAGAATAAAAACTTACAGCAACATTTTCTATCTCACTGCTAGTGGCTTTTCCATCGTAACCATAAGCAATATTTTCTTCAATAGAACAATTGAAGAGAACAGGTTCTTGACTAACTATGCTAACCTGCAATTTGGTAACTAATGGTGAAAACATATACAATAAGTACTCATCCAATACGTATCCATTAAAATTATCATTCATAAATAAAAATTCTTAGTTTTCTTCTGATAACTGAATTGGGTATTATTACATGAATGGCATGTGTAATAGTTTATAAAGCACAGTCACCAAAAATGCTAGAACTTCTTTTATTTAATCCCTTCTCATTTGTGTGATTGATTATGAAAACACAAAATACTGCTGTAGTTACATAGACTTGTAAATCATAGACTCCCAGTTTATTAATTATTCTTTCTGATACAAAAAATGGGAGGTAGCAAGTCTAATGAACTCAAAAGAAGAACTAACTGATAGAAATTCAGAGACACTGTCATTAATCTTATAAATATGTTTAAGTTTACTACAGATCACATAAGGAATAGCCATAAACTAACAACAAACACATTACAATCATTGAAATGGCCATCATCTGCCATATGCTAGAATTGGTTTGCATGACTAAAATCTGCTATATCGCTTATGTATTTGATATCACAAACATCTGTTCATTTTCAGGCTATCTATCAATGATAAATAATAATTACCTGTCTGTGGAGATAGCGATGTGATATATCGACCAACGAAACACCATTTAGTAAGATCTTTCCCTTAAGAGGGTCATAGAACCGTTCAATTAAATTTGCTATTGTAGTCTGCATCAGGAATGTAATTTGCATGATTAGAAATGTCACACAGGTAGTAAAAGACTCGAGCAACCTACCTCAAATGGCAGGGTTAAACAAATAGGTAGAGAAACATCTAAAATTTAGTGCTTATCAGAAAATTACTTTTCCACCACCGCTTGGCCCAACAAGTGCAACCTTTGAACCAGGCCTCAACTTTAGTTGAATACCCTGCAAATTGTGAAAAGTCCCAGGTTTAGTTCAACCTCTAATGAAACTTCACCACTTGTATATAATATATGCAGATGCCCTTCTCATGCTTCAGCTGACTAGGATTTTATAAAACAGCATCTGAACACAATTAGAACAGTAATAGTCTACATTACAACAAAAAATTGTGATGTCATTTTAAAATGAAAAATTGTACATAACTCTGCAAGATTTTATTCATATTGGAAAAAAGAATGGCCTAATGCATGAGGTTCCTACCAATGTGAGATAAAGTAGTCCGAATGCACTAATTAGGTCATGAATTCATTTTAGGACAAGGCTTTTTCATATTGCCCTAGAAATTTTGTACATCATATATATATATTTATGTAAGAATATAACATTTCAAAGCACATCAACATACCACCATTAGGCTGCAAATTCTAGAATCTAATATTTAAGTGGCAGATGTGTTTCAAGTTTCATAGGGGCACATGATTTTTTTTTTTTGCAGGAGCACACATGCAAGTTTTCCTTGTAAAATTATACTGATAGTTTATTCAAGTAACTATAATAACATAGTAACATCAAAAAGGCTTTTCCTTCTACAAGAATTCCTTATACCAGATAAAGACAAAATTTTGCCTTAGCTTTTAGCATAATACTGAGTTTCTAACCAATGACAATAGTTTATATTGACTCAGTGTTATAACCCAACGTGACGGATAAGTGACTCATTAACTTGATGAATTTGAACTAGTTGTCCAAAATGATTAAGCCCAAGCTAACATTAATAAACTTAATCTAGCCCTATAAATTAACTCAATTGGCCACATATTCAATGTTAGATTAAACTTCCTTCTCAAGGTCCAACATAACCTAGAATAGTTCCAATATAGTGCATGAGAGGCCTGCCTATTGGTGTCGCAAACCATGATATGCCTTCAACCTTATCCATGAGCAATTCATTCCAACCTAAGCCCCTCAAGAAGCCTTATTCATGGATAGTTCTTTCCTACTTTGGTCCCTTACAATGCTAAATACTAGGTCCATTTTGATACCACTTGTCATGATTTGACCCAATGGATTAACTAACCCATTAACTTGATGAGTCTGAACATTGGTAAAAAATATTTAAATCCAAGTAGATTCTCTCTAGCCTTATAAACTAACTCAAAAACACATCCTTTGTGGAAGTAAACCTGGGCTGTTGGTGTGTCACACTCAAAGACATAATTAGTTGTCAAGAAATGCAAGGAGCTCCACCCTTTACAGAGATCAGCGTGCACTCTCCTTGCTTGCAATACATATTTACAAACTTTACCAAACAAACAACATATTAGTTATATATTTCTATTTTAATGAAACTGCTGATAGTTAACTAGATAGGTAAAATTGAAATCAAGGTTAAATTAGAATAAACGACTAAACTAAGAATTAATTTAAATTGTGTTAAAAATACATTTTTGATCATACCTTAAGCACCATATGAGTCGGACGAGAAGGATAAGCAAACCAGACATCATCTATCTCAACATCTCCATCTTGCTCACTGTCCGAAAAGTCATATCGTTATCACAAGAATAGTTATCGAACTTGCTTCAAGTATGATACAAAGATGTTTTCAACATCTACAACTGACCTGAGGGGGCACAAGTCCCCAGATTTTGGCATAGAGGAGACACGATCCAGAAGCTGAAATACTCTTCTGCTTGCACCGGCAGCTTTCATTGCTGTTGTGTATAATCCTGATAGGGCGGATACTGACGAACCAACTGCAGGTGGGCAAGAATAGATAAAACTTTTCCAAAGGTTCTCAAGTAATACAGATGCTTAATAAAAGCAAAATTTTCTAGCCATCCATTTTATATTTATTTGATGGCTGAGATCTAATAGGAATCAGTTTTGCCACTTGTATTTTGTCATACATGAGAAGTTTTCAAGTTGAGAGATTTACTTTCTTCCCTAAAAGTAGGGAAAAATTTACAGATTAATTAGGAATGATGGGTTAATCAGTTCCTGGATAACAGAACAAAAATGCATAAGTTATAAATGGATTAAAAATAGAAAAAATTTATCAGATCCTTTTTCTCAGAACTATTAATTCTTTTTTAAAATAAATGTAAGACCTTCAAGGAGTACCTGTAAGACTATAAAGAATGAAAGATGTAAGAGCACCAGTTGTCATAGATCCATTTATGGTTAGGTTAGCTCCATATATAACAACAATAACAACTGATAATGTTGATGCTGCATTCAGTCCTCCAGCAAAGAGACCAACAACTTTCTGGCAAGGTGTGCAAAATTCATTATTTAGGAATACAATATCACTTTCATACTATTAAAAAATAAAGCAAAGAAAAGAATCTTACAGCCTGGTTGAGTCCAAGCTTCAAAGTTTCATCTACTTTTACAGAATAGCGTGATATTTCATAATCTTCTTGAGCGAAGGACCTCACAGTGCGAATGGCTCCAAAAGATTCCTGAATTGGACATTCAATTTTTAGATTTTATGGTTTTGTTTGTCAAAGACCAGATAAAGTGAATGAAACAAATAGACAGATTGACAGAAGCAAACCCATAGAGTCATATGAAAAATACTATCTAAAGTTCTAAACGTCATATCCACTTTCATAAACAGAATTATGGTGGAGAAATCCACTTTTATTTTTTTAAAAATCCATGTCAGCTTTTACCATATCATTGTGTAGTATTATAAGTTATAACCATAACTCAACCATAGCAAATAAAAGTAATGATCATCAGATGTGAATTTGTTTGAGAACAATAAAAAGAATGGTAAAAATAATCAAACCACATAGCATTACAAACTCAAGTAAATGGAAAGAGATTTAGGTTACTTATCATTTTTATGCCTTTTTATTTAATTTTATGAAAATATCGACGCAGAAACAGGATATATGGCTTGCTTCAGATACCAACAATCTCTCAAGGAAACTTCAGGGAAAAGGTGATTTTAATAAAATCATGACTTGTTTACCACCATTACTCAAAAGAATCAATTGTAAACCTGGATGCAGTCTCTCATGGAAACTTAGGAAAAAAGGAGGTTTTAATAGAATCATGACTTCTTTTACTACAATTACCTAAAGAACCAGTTATAAGGATCCAACAAACCTCAGCAATTGATGCTGCAACAGCTGCTGCAGCTTGAGTCTTGTGGGAAAGTTCACGAAGATAACGCCCAAACTGTCGGACAGCGACAGAGACAACAGGAACAATAACAAGTGCCAAAACTGCTCCAAGAAGATATCATTGGATTTTATATTCATGCAAAGAACTATAAGATTTACCTCATTAAAATTAAAGAATAACAGTTGTCAAGAACAGATAAGAGATTTCATAAGAAATTTGTGAAGATGTAAAGAACAAATATGAAATTATAGAGAAAAATCTAACACAATATTCATTAGGAAAACAGTTAATAAGTGAATGCTAGAGTCTAAATGAGATTTATTGTATCATTTCTTGCTGAACAATTTTCCTAATCAAACAGAACTGCTCCATGACAAGTAGCAATCTTATCAGGAACAAACACAAGATGCTAGTAGCATGAGTAATAAAGATATATGTAGAAGTTGAAATCCATATACAGGATTCCATTGTCTTTGCTGCTGAAGCTTGCAACTTCTGCAAGACAATAGAGCCTTCCATGTGACAGGCAAGAATCTTGAAATTTTGTATGGTTCTTTTAAATAGTCTTTAAACAGAAAAGTTTTCTTATGCAAATTGAAATTTTTTGCTATTTAAATACAGAATACAATTGACACTTTTATAGTTCCTTGATACCTTAGCTGTTTATTTCTTTTTTTTTGTCTATAGCATGCAGTTTATGATAAAATTACTTTGGCTTTCATCATTAATGACGTATGAATATGTCTATAGCTGTTTATTTCTTGCTACTGATAAGAGGAATATTAAAGAAAAAGTGAATTTATAAATTAATCAATTGCAATTATTATGATAAGAAATTATGATGTGATTATTAAGTAAGAAGCAGCAATTCTTAATTATCAAGCATTTAAAGAACTTACGTGTTAATTTCCATGATGTGGAGAACATAAAACCGAGACCAATAAATGTGGTGGTAAGATTACGCAAAGCCTCTGACAAATTGGTTGTTGCAGCATTTTTTATAATTTGTGTGTCTTCAGATAGTCTGCTTAGAAGTTCCCCAGTTCGAGTTACATCGTAGAAGGCTATTTCCTAGCATAACAAAATCAAAAGATCACTCAAATATTCATTTGATGGGTATAGCATTATACATGATATGAACAGACAATTGTTACTCACTTGGTTCATAAGATGACTAAACAAGTCTTTTCTCAATCGAGCAACTACCCTTTCACTGGCAGAATTGAACATCCATGCTCGCAAAGTAGTACATATTGAACTAAAAGATAAAATCAAAATTATCATTTAGCAATTAACATATATGTTTCAACATTTCAGCTTTATCAACACTTCTAAGGTCCATACAAAAGAATTGAAGAAGTCAGCAAACAAAAATTTGTGTTAGAATGAGTTACATAAACTTCTAAACATAAAAGAAAAGAAAAGGCTAATATAATATGTAGCGATCACCACCAGAACTTTCAATTCATGACATGCATCCACAATAAGCATAAGAAATTCAAGATTTGAGAACATTTACACATACCCTATGACAACAATCACCATGATCTCCAGCACGGTATTTTTAACAGCATCCAAAGCTTCAGCTTTCTGGTCAGGCGCTTGGATCCCTCTTGATACGATGTCTATTATCTTCCCACCAAATTTAGGCTGCAACATAAAAAAAAATTCGGAATAAAGCATGATATGTCTTTCATAAAAAAAATTGTAAAAAAAATAGAATTCCACTTATGGTTATTTTTTGGTAAGCATTCAATGAAATTGCTTTTTCTTCCATTCTATTTTACCCACAGCCTTTGATTTTAGAAGGATATTATAACAGAGGATTAATTGATCAAAGGCCAAGAATCTAGATGCTGCCAACATGTCATCCACTGTGCCACAGGTGAAGAAGCCCAAGGAACAAGTGTATGCAATACGTGATGGAGACATAAGCTCTGAAACCAAAATGGCATAGGACAACCTGCCCTAATACGACATCCAAAGCAAGACAATTGCTCCAGCACAACATGATAGCTCATGCATGGAGGGCATAGAAAATATACATACATTGGGATAACAATGCTGGAAGAAAAAAGAAAGAGGTAAAGAAAGAATACCAGGCCCATCCCATCATGTGTCTTGCACATGAACAATGGCAACACATCATCGAAAAATTTTAGAATAAGTATTAGACTCGCTCTAGCTATAGCCTATAGGAGTCACTTCTAGGAATGTGAGCATGTGCAATTCACATGTATTATGAGAAAAAAAAATCATTTATTCATTCCCTAAAATTTTATGTTACAATCTCTTTCCTGCTTTAAATAGACCCTTAGTATAAGAAGAAAAAGTAAAAATTATAAAAAAATTTACACGATTAAGAAACCTACATTCCTTAGAATCTATTCTTTCTGTTCTGGAGAAATAAGTACTTTCATATTTATTTTGGCAAATAATCCTTCTTGTTTCATGATATTTGAATGATATATACTACCTTATAAACTTTTTTATAGATAGATTTAATATGAGATTATAGATCCTTCAAGATTAAATTCATTGTGGAGATGGCGCTCTAATCAATCCTTAGAACTATTAATTAAGTAAAGATTTGTCTTGTTTCTTTTCTTTTCCTATTTGGCTACTTTTTTATCTAAGTAATAGAGATACATAGAATATGTTGTCATGTGGCAACCTAGAATGACATAATAGCATGTTCTTGGTAATGGCAACATATAATAGCATGTTCTTACCTAGTATGTACCATGATATATGTTGAGTGGGACATGCACGACAAGTGATGCTTAGGTCTTTGAGCAGAGCACACTTTGAATCAAGATCATATACAAAGAACTAAATTTTCAGATTTTATAAAACTTACTCTACAAAAGCAATAAATCATTGCTGCTATACACACACATGACGTATCTACGCAATATATAGTATCTAGTCTCTAAAGTTTAGACATTATTATTCGCATAGAACAATATATTGTTGTCTTTATAAATAGATACACAAAACATATAAAATGTATATATGTATTTGAAACTTCACCTATAAATCCACAAATTAATGAAAAAGTAACTTTGGTTTTCTTTTGATGTCCAGTTAATCCTCATCATTTGCCGAATGACAATTTCCTGTTTCTTTAGTGACCTAGGTCCTGAGAATTAAGCTTCATCCTTGACTTCTTTTCATTCAAAAATGTCACAGAAATTTTGAATTAATTTGAAAATTTCAAAGTTGTGTAGTTTTAAATTTTTGTGCCCTTTTATCATGTCTATTGAATTAATTTAAAATGCCTTTACATGTGTGTTGTGTTACAATTTTTATTTGGAAGGTTTGTCATCGGTGGTCTACACTTTCATTCCTTAAATTAATCTAATTTAGTAGACCCACAAGAAAAAGGATGACCCAGCTCCCTCCAAATGTAAGGATCTAGGAAAGGCCAAACCATGCAATTTTACCCTTATAACTAGAAAGGTTGTTTTTGTGATTCAATCTTAGTATCCTTGATCAGAGAGGAGCAATCTTAACATGGTGCTAAGGCTTTCCGTAAATTTAGCATAGCCCACTATTCTCTCCTAGTCAATTAGCAGTTATAGCTAACTGTGGGGGAAATTTCTGTAGGTTGGCTATGATTGAGAAACAGAGATGTTGGTGTTTCTCTTGAAAAAAGGGTCTAATCCTTTGTGCTTGAGAAACAGGGACTAGTCAGTAGGCAATTAGCAGTCCTTTGTGCTTGAGAAGAACAAGTCTAATATCTTACTCCTCCATCTTTCATGCTTTGCTCTGGGTGATTGCTACAGCTCTGATGTGTTCAAGGCATCTCTTGTTGCATGCACATCATCGTAGACCAAGCTTTTCTCATTCTGGAATGGATCCACCGAGAGCCCAAGCCTCTACCCTGAAGACAACTCTGATTGCTTATTCTACCACTAACATCTGCTCCTCTATTCAACAGACTGAACCAGGTACAAGTTGCAAAATTCGTTTCATATTTCATTAAGCTAACCACTGTCTTACATAAAATACGGAAATAAATGCTCTGTATAAAGATCCATTTGGAAACAATTAAGTGGTTTGATTGAAGATAATTGGAAAAAGAAATATCATAAGTTGATAACAAATTTCAAATATCATTGTAAGCAGCATTAATCACAACTCTGCAACAGTATAACTTGCCTTTATAGTCTCTTCCTTTTATTTTTCACCTTAACCATGTTGGAGAAGGTATTCCGATGATTATAAACCTTTCAAAAGACCTAGTGAATCTAGTATTAAGCTTTCACAAATACAAAGGCCATCATGACATCTTGCTCTCTTTTCCAAGAAGTTCAGGGATATATGGAGAATGACCAATGGACAAACTTTGGGAAGAAAGGTTAATGAATACATACAATTAGGATATTTGTTGTAGACGCTATCAACAATGCTACAGTAGCAAGAACAAGTTTCCCTGCATCAGGTTTCGCCTACAAAAGAACAGCATGTCAATAAACTCTACATCTGTTCAGCTTTAAAGTAATTAGGAAAGGATATCATTGCTTACCAAGTGTAAAACTCTAGAGAAAGTGACATTGGCTGGCTGATGTTCACAAAGCAATCTTGTCAGTATCATTTGAGAGAAATACAAGGTAATGTAGGTGAAACAATGAAAGAAAGGAAATAGTGCACCTAAGTTACCTGAACTGTATCACCATGTTCAAGGTCCGACAAAGCACGGCTTGAGGATTCCTAAGTTAAAAAAATCCAGCATTAGCTAAAAACCCTTCAATCACGTCATTCCTAAGAAAGATCCTAATGTAAAATGACTATTGTTTTCTAAATGGAACTATTAGATGGATTGACAGCAGATAAGGAGGCTTAGAAAGACAACGACATCAATAAATGCATTGCAAACTGTAAACAAATAAGAAGTCCCAAAAATGCAGGTCTAACACAAGTGAATAATGAAATTTCTCATTCCCACTTGTTGAACTTCTTTTGTCATTTAGTTTCTTAAATTTGAAATCCTGTGTAAAACATACGAAGTCTACATAGAATCATCGTAGGAAAGATGCGGATACAATCAACCATGATACCAAGGCCCTCAAGATTTCCCAATTAAATGTTGTCAAAAACCTTAAAATTCTTTATTGAATCTGGAAACCAAGATTCTCTGCATCACAAGCTGCAGGTCTGATACAATTAATAGCTAATCTTATTGGATTATTGCAAATCCACAATATAAACATCTAACCAAATGATTCACGCAATAAAGATTGTCAATTCAGAACACAAAAATGTCATAAATGTTCAAAGCAAAGGGTGCGCGCAAACAGACGATCTTTCAGGTAATTTAAAGTCCAAACCAGACATAGATGAACACCAAAACAAACGTCGTAACGCTGCAAGCAAAGAAAAATAACATAACAAACTGAATTCAACACCCAAAGCCCACCAAGAAAGGAGATAACATCGGGCAGACAAGCAAGATAACACCCAAAAAAGGGGAGACCACGCCGTCTGCGATACCTCGTGGTCCAGCAGCGGGCTCCTGTTACTCGACGCGGTCTTGATCCTCATGTTCTTCCCCATGGAGACCTTCTCCCTGTTTTTTTGGGAACCGAGATCGTAGAGAGGAACCGGGGACGATCAGGTTTAGCGAACCCCCAGTCACCAGGTATTCGTCCAAGATTCCACGGACCGGGCGCCGGGCTCGCCCCGTCGAATAAGAGCACCGAGCAAAGGGACAACAGGAGAGAGCAGCCGGGCTAGTGGTCTCCGGGATATAGGGATCCGAACAGGATGAGGTTGTCTTAGACTCTGTGGGGAATACGGAACATGTGGAACTCCGAGACGGCAGAAGAAGAAACCTGGGCGAGGGAGAAGGAAGCAAAATGTTTTGCTTCCATCGACACTATGGCCTTTTGTATAATATATTGTACATATATATTCTTTGTTCTCGGAAGGCTGGGATTGGTGGTGCGGGAAGGATCCACCGCAGGACATATAGGTCGTATCTGAGGGAGAGGACACCTGACCGCCAATAAGGAAGCGGGGCAGCGAGAGGGATGCGCGGCGACAGCAGAGTCATGTGCAAGTCTTTTGTTGTAAAGGACACCCAACTAGAAGACAAGATTATTATCTTTGATTTCCAATTGTTTTCGTCAAAGTGTTTGGGCGAATTTTTTTTTCTTTCAGTTTTTCAAAAGAAATATCTTAATTTTTAATTTTAGATCTTTATTTTTTTATAATACTCATGATATTCGATTGAATATTTTCACCCGAGCTATCTCTCTCCCCTGTCTCACTGTATATATCATTTTATGAGGTCACTTATCTATTTCATTAGGCGTATCGTCTTTCTCACCCATCATTATTTTATCATGTTATCAACTCGTCAAGTCTTCCTCTTCATCTCATAAGATTTCATCTTCGTCTTAGGAGACCCTATTGTCTCTCTACCTTATCTTTTTTTTCATTGTTATATCATCACTCTCTCGCATATTTTTTTCATGATTTTCTCCTATAAAAACGACGAAGCCGAGAGTGATGGAGGTAGATGTAGGTGAGAGCTTAAGAAATCGCATAGAGTAAAAATGGATGAGAGCGATGATAGAGTCGAGAGTTAGGTGAAGTTGGTGAAGGAAGAATGGGTGAAAACAATGTGATGGGATGATGGATATTTTAAGTATTTTATAAAAAAAATAGAGGTACCAAATAAAAAAAATAAACTAAAAATTATAGTTAAGAAAAAGTGAGTATTTGATCAAATGTAAAAAAAGTATTTGATAAATTAGGTGGGCGAATCACATGGTATATTAAAAAAAAATATTTTTCAACAAAATACAAAAAAAAAATCGATAATAAAATTGTTGGGTGTTTTTGATGATAAATTCAATCATTTATTTGTTCCCTTAAAACATTGACCATCAGGATCAAATCCTGTATTCTTTTTTCGAAATTATTATTTGTTTTTGGGAATCACGAACCCAGAAGAATCCACTTCGATTTCGATGTCCCAACCTGCAATTTGCTCCTTGATCGGCTTTCTTTCATCTTTAACAGATGATTACATCAAACCGCATCGGAAAGGAAGCTTTAAGAGAGAGCATCGACTTCCGGAGAAAGCAGAGGTCAACGAGAGAGATGGCTGTGGGTGCAATGAACCCATCGGTCAATTTCCTCAGTACTGACCTAATTCATGAGAGCAAAACAAAATCAATCTTTTCTAAACTCGTGATGCTGATGATTCAACCGCCAAGACTCGAAATAACAGGTTTTTCTTCACACACACACATATATATATATAAATAAAAACTTTGACGATCTAGAATGCTATGCTATTTCAAGATCGACAGGTCCATCAATGGTGTCAATTTTGGCCATCATCTATAACACTATTTCATGGGCCAAGTACCAAGAAGGCATTGAAATATATAATACGGATTCATACAAATAAAAATATGTTATCAGATTGAAATCTTGGATGGCTGCTCGCTGATGGGACGAGTGGATTAGACGATCAATAAATCATATTTAGATTTTGTATAAATATATAATATACAGTAATCAGTCCCTCCATGGTTAGTAATCAAAATAAAAATCGAGAATAGCCTCACAACCTTGGAATTAAGCCCTATATATATATATATATATATGCTTGCATTTATGTTTGATATCTTTTATCAAGCAAATGATCCAATCAATTGATTCATAGTTTTGATAATTATGGATTTAGTGTCTTATCAGACCTTAAAAATCAAATTTTAGTTAGTGGTAGCCCAAATGACGGACTCGAATCGGACCCAAATCCATCTAATGTCGAGCTCAGACCAAAAGCGGCCCAAGTTAACCCCGAAGCTACCCGTCCAAAGCTGCTCCTTAAATCGTCGGCCCGAGTCTGGACTCGTTGAGCCCAACTCGCTCTCGTTCTCGCTCCTTCGCCCATGGCGTTCTCCCCGAGGGCGTCGTCTTCGTCCTCCCGCGGCCGCCACGGTCGGCGCTCCGATCTTTACTCTACCGTCGTTATCCATGGAGACGACGACGGCGGATCCGAACCGGATGCCGCCGCCGGGGACGACGACGAAGAGGAGGAAGCCTCTTCCCTCCCTCCCCTCCTCCAGCGCGTTCCCAAGGACTTCGGCGCCGCCGTCGACGACGACGAGGACGAGGACGAAGGCGGCGATTTCTCTGGCACATTCATCGTGAAGCGCGATTCGCTGCTGTCTCACTCCCCCACCGCCCGCCGCACCCTCCGGTCACCGTTCTTGGATCTGAAACGTGCCAGCCCTAGGAGCAGGGGGGGCGAACAGGACGATCCTTACTCCACGTTCTTGATCCGTTCTACATCGAGGGAATCGAGCCTGAGTGAGTCCGTGTCGGGGACCGTCGTCCGCAGGACGGGCGGCGGTGGAGGTGGGTTTGGGTCACCGTTTACGAGCGGGGCGGTGGAGGAATTGAGAATGGGGGAGGGAGGAGGCTTTAGACAATCCCAATGGGAGGAGGGGAAACAGCAACATCAGCAGCAGCAGTCCCAGAGGAGGAAGGCGTCCGTGAGTTCGGTGCCTGATAGCGTTGCCAGGGAGGATCCTTCATCCAAGTATGAATTGCTCCATGAGCTAGGTAAGCGCTGCAACCTGAGTACCTCTTCTTTCGCAAATCGCTTTCGAGAAAGCGATGTTTTTCTGGAGACAATAAGCTTTAGGATGGTACAATGGAAATAGATGCCTTCATTGGCTTCTCTTGAACTTATAATTCTTGTAGCCAATGGTCGTTGGAACTGCTTTGAAGGATATACTCGTTCTAGAAATTGGTTGTTCTATGATTTCTCAATCTTGCTTGGCAAATGTTTCCTCTTGGACATGCTTAGGAAAGGGTTGTTCAGTGGTCGGTCATCATTCAAGTTATGGGTTGCCTTAATTAAGGCATCCTAAGGTACCAGAGAACTTAATACTAGTCTTCCTGTTTGAAGAAATCAAATATTCAAGTGTTTCGTTGATAAAGGGTCTGCTTTTTACTGGTTTTGATTAGCTTTGCAATTCGGCATGGGCAGGCAAAGGTTCTTATGGTGCAGTGTACAAAGCTAGGGATTTAAAGACTTCAGAGCTTGTTGCAGTCAAAGTGATATCCTTGACTGAAGGGGTATATCGTTTTCTCCGTGCTACTTGATAAATCTGTTGGTTCTTTAGGTGCACCTAAGTAGTATATCATTGTAAGGCCTTATGTTGACATGGCAGAAGCACAGATATGGCAGAAATCAGGGACCATTACTGAGCATCATATCTTAAAGTATAAAAGAATAAAAAATGTTTGAAATAAATAAATTCCATGAGAAAATTTATATATTATGTTTTAGGAAGAAACATTTTAGAATTACCACCCCAGTATATGCCTCATACTAAAGTAATATTGAATATTGCCTTTATGTTGATTTATCTACTGAGTTTTATACCTTTTTTTTTTAACTATACTATTTTATATTCTTATATATATATATATAGAGGCAAATTAGTTTGTTGAAAGCTTCAAATACAATTCAAACAACCATACTTGGTAATAATGCATCCCGTTCTTGTTTAGATTATAGCAGAAGGCAGCCAAAATCATCCAACATTGAAAACCATGTGGTAAATACAATTATTAGGAAAATTTCACAAATGGAACTACAGATATCTCATAAGAACTTGTATCTACATTTCTAGCTCTCTGCTGAATTTAGACGAATATTTATATTTACAGATATCTTGAGCTTATTTCCATACTAAGTTAATCAAATGGTTACTAGTTTCATTGTTACAAGAAATCTTGGAAAAGATCAATTCATTGCAAATAGATTGTGAATGCTTAGTTGCCTTTCAATGAAAACTTTGTTTATATGTAAATATCTTCATCAGGAAGAGGGTTATGAAGATATCCGTGGAGAAATTGAAATGCTGCAGCAATGTAGTCATCCAAATGTTGTCCGCTATTTTGGGAGCTACCAGGGAGAGGAATACCTATGGGTATGTCAAATGATCTTCACATGCTTCACAAAGCAGTAACACTAATACATATAATCTTTGCTTGTCATGTACTATAATATGCAACTTTACTCATACAGGTCCCGTGAAGATTACTTAAATGTACTAGTGGCCATTTTTTCACATATTGTCCTATTTTTTCTAGAAGAAATGTGGCTTGTGGCATACGGACTAGAGTGATTGATATAACTAGCATGCTATCTTTATGTAGGCTTTTGTCCTGGTTGCAAGTTCAACCTAATGTAATATCTCAGGTCGCTCAGTGAATGCTCTATATTCTTCTGAACTTATTTATGCCTTCAGTGACTAAATTCTCTTAAAAAATAAAAGAAATGTTTGAAAACTATAGACTGACCAGTTTTATCTTCTTAGGAACTATTTACTGGTACTCACTGCAACTTCTGGTGTTGTGTGTTCCATGATGCGATGTTTGTGTGACTTACAGTGCAATACTTGCAAATTGGTTCGATTTTACTTTGTATCTGAAATTAGAGCTTTCTTAAAAAGTTGTTTATTTATCAACTTTGTGATCCACATATCTAGCGACACATTGATAGGGAAAAGATGGATAGTGTTGATCTTAAAAAGTGAAATTCAGATTATCATTTTTTTCTTGACATTTTAATGCTAGTAAATTATAGTTTTTTCCTGTACTTTTTAGGTGATTAGTGTGTTTGGTGTCCATCATTCTTTTAATTTGCATTTGGCAGATAATAATGGAATATTGTGGTGGAGGAAGCATTGCTGATTTGATGAATACTACAGAGGAGCCTCTAGATGAGAACCAAATCGCATATATATGTCGAGAAGCTTTAAAGGTATCAAAACTTTGTCATTTGGCATTTGTCAGACTACTAGTTTTTCATCTAAATTTATTTTCTTTGAGAAACTTAAGAATTAAATACTGG